TCAATGTGGTTTGAACTGAAGATGAGGAATAATGCCATGGGAACATTAGCTAGTTACAACAGGCTTAATGAATGAGGTGAGTCTGGAGTGCTTGTTCACTGCTTGGCCATAGCCCCACTGGGCCTGAGCTTCAGTGCCTGCACCTGGTGGATGCACCGCAGGGGATGGGAAGGTCCTGAGATGGCCCTTTGCAGAGGCCCAGACAGAAGGGTCCTATAAGGAGAGAGACCCAAGGGCATTGCCAAGGGTAAGGCACTTACCCTTGTTCTGGCTCTGGGTATTTAGCAATGAACAGAACAGACCCAAATCCCAGCCAGCCTTCACAGAGATCAAGGCCACAGGCAAATGCAAGGGTAGGAACTTTCCTCAAGTTTTGATGCGGATTTATTTGGAGCCCTGAATTGAAAGTATTTAGAAATGCCCTTGAGTGTTGGGAGGAAGGGACAAGGGGAGGGTGGCCAGCTTCTGACCAGACTCAGCTGGTGACTTTGGGTCAATCGGTGCTAGCGTGGGCAGGATTCTGGCCCCCTGAGTCACCCTGCCTTGCCCCAGTCTCTTCCTGCCTGGGGCTGACTATATAGCTTGGTCATCTCAGCTGAGACAACCCTCTGGTTTTGGAAGGGAATTTTCCCAAATGCCACCAGCTGAGTTCCCTGGCCCTGATCTTTGGCTGTGCCACTGCAGACCTTGCCTCCTTCCTGTGCTTGGCACCCTCTGCATGAGGCAGCTCCCCTCCCTGTTCGTCTTCTCTCCCGTGCCTCACCCTCTCCCAACTCCCCAGCTCTGCCCTCGCATGTTGGCTTCCTGTCTGTCTTCTTGCCCTCCTGCCCAGCAAACCTTTTCTGCTGTTAGCGCCTCCCTCCTGCCCAGGGCCACATACCAGATATTGGCCACTTACTGGTTCCTGCTCTGGCCCCTCTTGAGCTTCCCAGATGGAGTCTTCCCAGCACTTTTCTCCTGTCCTGTGGTGTGGACCCTCTCTGAGCCAGGACACTGCCTCACCCTCAAAAGGAACACACCAGGTTCCACACCTGGAGTGGAGTGGGGCTAGGGCAGGCTTTCTCCTCCATTAACATTTGGGGCTGGGCAGTTTTTTATGGGGGGAGCAGTCCTATGCATTGTGGGTGTTTAGCAGTACCCATGACCTCCACTCACTAGATGGCAGTAGCAGTTCCCTCCCCAGGTTGTGTCCACCAAAAGTGTTGTACACATTGTAGGGTGTCCCCAGGGAAGCAAAATTGCTCCTGGGTGAGAACCACTGGGCTAGGAGATGAGAGCACCATATCTCAGGCTTGGCTAAACCTGTGCTGGAAGAGACCTGAGAAATTCTCTAGTCCAAATCCCATATTTTAAAGGAAATTGGGCCTCAGCAAGCTAAAGAATCCTAAGATCATATAGGGGAACAGCATGATGAAAGAAGCATTTTAGAAAAAGGATTCAGGCAGCTCGGTGCAGGCTGGGCTGAAAAATAGAGGTCAGGGGTGAGGAGGGGAGCACGGCTGGGGTCTGGGTGAGACAGGGGCTAAGGTGGAGTCTTGGTGCTCTTGCCCTGGTGGCCTGGGCTCAGCATGTATGCAGCCTCCCAGGAGTGGGAGTGTGTAAGGGCTCTTCACCAAATGCCAGGGAACCAGGTTCTGGGCCCACCCTGGCAATGTGACAGTCACATGTCCCTTTCTAGTGTCCTTGTCTATAAACGTAGGTCCTGATGTTTGTGTCTTCTTCCTGCCTGGAGGTTGTGCTGGTTTTGGGTCATCTGAGATGGGGACACAGGGTCCCTCTCAGCAGAGATCCCTGAGAATATAGGAGTGACAGGGGTCTCACTCACTCAAGCAGACATTGTGTGTGATGCCTTTCCCCAACCCTGCACTTAGATACAGGCTGCCGATGGGTTGCTCCACCTGTAGGCAGCAGACCTCACCTGAGATCAAGCCTGGGGCTTGGTGGAACCTCAGGCAGAAAGTGAAACGGGAAACAGTTAGGATATAGGACCCTAGCTCCCAGGGTATTGGAGGGTGGCTGCTGGTCAGGCCAAGTTACAGAACGTGCAGTGTGGAGTCAGAGAAATGACCGTCTCCTGGGAGCTTCAAATGGTTGAGCTTTTCCTGGATGGAGGCTCCTTGAACTCACATCAGTTCCCCCTGGAGGGAAATGGAGAATGGAGGCACAGAGGGGACCGCACAAGGCTCCACTCCCCATGAGAACTGTCTTCTGGGGAGAAGACCCGGGGGCCCTGGTGTCTGCAGCGCGTGGGGCATCCTGCAGCTCCAGGAGGCTGAGTTCAGCTCCCTGTAGTAGGCTCTTCTACCTGGTTAGTGACCTGGCAGCAGTGGGTTTTCCTCTTATTCATTGCAGGGTCTGGCTTTTAGAGCTATAAATATTCCATATGAAGATTATGAATTTCCGTATGATTAATGAAAGAAGAATTGAGATGGCAGCATAGATACTGACCATGTTGAAGAAAGTGACAAGTTGGATGAAAGTAGCAAACCCAGAGCTTCTGACCCGGCCTGAAGCGCCATCTAGTGGTTGCAGGGGTTATTCCCCTGGCAAAGCAAGAGAGATGCTGCCACTGGGTGGATGCTCTGGGCCTGAGTGTGCCCACACCTCAAGAGCCTTGCCCTAGTTCTTTATGGGGCTGCTGAAGGGTAGAGGAGGCGCAGAACCCCTCTCCACTGTGTGGAGGACCCAGGCAGCTGCTCCACTTACCTAACCCCCACATTCCGTACTCCTTGAGCAGTCTTTGGTTTAGTAATACATGGGAATTTTCCAACTTCTTGATCATTCCCAATCTGGACCACCTTTGTTTCCCCATTCATCAAAACTTTACTCATTCTTTAGAGCCCAGCTAGCCCTGTCAGTACTACCCTGCAAATATATCTCAAGTTAGACCATTTCTGACCAGTCCTCCACGGCCACCAGCTGTGACCATCACCAGCCTGAGCACTGCAGTAGCCTTCTAACTGCTGCCCTGGCTTCCGCTGTGCCCTCTGCTGGTCTCTTGTCCAGGCAGCAGCCAGATCAGTCTATTGAAAACATAAGTCATGTCACTTTCCAGCTCCAGAGGCTTTCCACCCTGTATAACAGCACCCACATTTTCTGTCCTGATGCCTGCAAGGTCCTGTCTCATCTATCCCCTGCCACCCTGCCTACTGGTCCCCTACCACTTGTCACCTCCTTCACTCTGTTGTAGCCACATGGGCACCTTGCTGCTCTGTGGCCGTCCAGGCTCATTCCCCACTAAGGGCTTTTGTACTGCTGTTCCCTCTGTGAGGACACTCTCCCCCAGGTATTTGTGTGGTTCACTTCCTCTCTTTATTTGGGTCCCCACTCAAAGGCCATCTTTCTTAGAGGACTTTCCTGACCACTCTGTCCCCAGGTACTTCCTAACTCCTTACTCATTCTTAGTTTTCTTCACAGCACATAGCAGCACCCGGCATTCCATGAGATGTTTGCTTGTGTAATCTGCATCCTCTGTGGGAGCTCTCTCTTCACGAGGGCCAGGCCTTTACCGGCTCCCCTGGCACTCAGCAGGGGCCTGGCACTTGTTAAGTAGGGGCTTAGCTTGGGTTTGCAGGCTCCCTGTCTTTGCTGGTACCTCTTTGTGCCCTCTCTGGCTTTGGTTCCTGGGGGTCACAGCACCGCTTTTGGCACACAGGAGCTGTTCAGTAAATGCCTTCAGAGGCCAGACCTCCTCTTTTCAACCCACTTCCTATGCTTGTTTCCCTGTAAATTCTCACAACGAACCAGGAGGTGGATGCTGTTATTCTCATTTAGCATAAAAGGAGCTTGCAAGGTGGCACAACCAGGACCAACTGGAGCCAGACATCAGATCCATGTCTGGTCTCCCTAGCCCTTATGTCTACACTTTCACCTGCATGGAACATTCTTGCCCTCTACCTGCCCCAAGTTTCCCCATTCTTCAGGGACTGTCCCCACCCACTGGCATCTTGGACCAGGGCAGTGACTGCATCCTCAGAACTCCTATGCCATTTATTTGGCACCAGTGTGTACTGCCAAGGGTAGCTGCTGCTTCTTTATGGCTCCCATCCAGCCCAACTGGAGGCCTGGGGAAGGCAGGTCTCTAAAGCTGTTGTAGCTCTTCTGGCACAAGATGCTGCATGCTGTAGGTACTCAATAAATATCAGTTGACTGATTGGTTGGCTTCTCACACTCAGCAAACTTCCTCTGAGCTGCGGGAGGGAGGGGTGTGTCAGCTATATTGATCGTAAAATAAGGCAGACATGGAGATTTGCAACCAACGAAATTGAAGCTTCCCTGGGTGAAACGAGTGGTGTCAGCGGCCCCAGGGGTGCTGTTGGGGAGTTGGTTTTCCAGCTCGTAGTGCTGGTTGCTGGATTACAGATGGATGGCGAACGCGGTGATGGCTGCTATGTCCTACACGCCAGCCAGCCCCTCAGTCAGCCTCTCCACCAGCCCAGCCAGTCCTTTTCTTCTCCTGTCTGTGGGAAATGTGTTCTTCAGCCTCCTGAGGACAGTGGGCCAATGGCCCTGCTGGTCAGGGCAATAGGTCACAGTGGCTGGAAGGTGTGGCCCCAAGAAACTGGACTCTGGATTCTCTTCCTGGTCCCAGAGATATAGCTTCCCCTGACCACCATGTCCCCTTCCCCTAGACTCTTTCCTGAATGCTAGGGCCTCTCCTCTGCCAAGTGGAGTACCACTTGCAGCCACTCACATGCATCTGGGACCTGCAGTCTTTGCCATATGCTTTTGCCTGTGTTTTATTTAATTTGATCCTCAGAGTGACCCTGGTGAAGTTGTGTAACCCCGTTTGCTAGGTGGGGAGATTGAGCCCTGGAGAGACTAAAGGTGTGTCTGGGTCATATAACCAACATGATCTGAAGCTGTACCGTGTCTGACCAGTAGCCCAATTTTCACCCTCTTTGTATCTCCAAGTAGGGGGTGGAAATATGCATCTTTCAAGTTCCCCTGTGGTGAATGCACCAGCAATGCCAGTCTAACAGGCTTTCCTTTCTCTACAGCTCTGTGGCTGTGGGCTGCTTGGAGTGGGCATTTGGCTCTCCGTATCCCAAGGCAACTTTGCCACCTTCTCGCCCAGCTTTCCTTCACTGTCTGCAGCCAACCTAGTCATCGCCATAGGCACCATTGTCATGGTGACAGGCTTCCTTGGCTGCCTGGGGGCCATCAAGGAAAACAAGTGCCTCCTCCTCAGTGTAAGTTGGACCCCACACCCCAACCCGCTGAGTTTGGATCACCCTGTGTTTGGGCCATAGCCACAGGCAAGGCCTGGGAACATGAGCTGAGTCCAGGGAAATTGCTTCCAGAATGTGATTTTGCCCAGCCACATTCCTCTTCCTCATGATTGGCTCTCTCTGCCCTGGTTGACTCTGTCAGTCCTTGATTGGCATCGACTTAATATCCCTCCCCTTCCTATGTGGGTTTCCTCAGAAATAGGTGCTTCTCTGCACCTGGGAAGCCCTGGCTACATGTTGACTGTCCCCTGACTCCCTGCCATTGTCCTTGTTTGTGCCACACTCCTGGCCACACCTACACCTTCTCTTTCCAGTTTTTCATCGTCCTGTTGATCATCCTCCTAGCAGAGCTGATCTTACTTATCCTCTTCTTTGTCTACATGGACAAGGTAAGCCTTCAGGAACGGAGGGGCCTATGGAATTTCATTGCTTTTGGGGTTGGGTCACACTGGGGCAAGCCAGAGGGAAAGTGCTGACAGGTAGTATCTGTGAGGAAAGGAGGATGGGGCCAGGAAATCTAGGAAAGGCCCAGATGAAAGGTTTCATTGTGGCAGCCTGGGGAAGGCAAGTTTGGGACGTTCACTACCTGTGTAGTCTTGGGAAGTGGAGTCCGCCACAGAACCCGGTGTGCAGTGGACTGCCCCTTGCATTAGCGAGCTCCCCATCACTGGGAACATTCAAGCATACTTGTGCTGACCACTTGGAAAAGGGATTTAGACCTCATTAAGTGGTTGGGCAGGGTTATTTGAGGGTAACGCATCGGAAACATGCAGGCACTTTGCAGGTGACACCATGAGGAGGACTAGCAAGTGAAGGGTAGCTGCACTTTCTTCTCCAGAGACCTTCGGGGACAGAGCGACTGCTCCCAGGCTGCCCTGCAGGGTTCGGCAGCATGGAGAGGTGACCCCGGGCAACCTTGCCCCACTACATAGCTTCCAGTTAGTCTGGAGAAGTTCTTACTGGTACTCCCAAGAATGACGAGCCAAGCGCTCAGTCTCTTGGCGCTTAACAGGCTCTTTCCGTGCATGTGCCAAGGGACTGAGTTGCTCTCTGTTCCTTGGGTTCTCGAAGTGTTTGCCAGGCCACATGGAAGGAGTCATTATTCGGGTTAGAAACTAATTCTTTTGCATTTGTGAAAAGGAAAAAATAATAAAATTGAGAGATCCCTCTATGCCAGCTGTTCTTGGCTCTTTGTAATAGTTATTTCCTTTAATTCCACAACTGCCCAAAGGAGGACACGTGCATTCCAATACATCACAGATAAAGCAGAGATGAGTCACTTGCTAACAAGGGGTGGACCTAACATCAAAGTGACTGATCTGCCATTCCCTGGTTCCCAGGGGGTCTTTTGATAGGGGCAGCGTGAGGGAGGATGTTGTGGGTGGGATGGTGGGGTGGCCTGTGTGCATGGCTATAGCCTCTTTCCTTCTCAGTGTTGGAGCCCTGGCCTGAAGGGTTCAGCTCTCCTGGGAATCAGTGGGTGCAGAGTGAAGCTGAAAGTGTAAACTCACACTCTCAGTGTTGGTGGCCTGCCCCATTGAGCAGGAGCCCACTCCCAGGCCCCCCCCTCACCCAGTCTGGAAGAGGGCAGCCAGCAGGTCTAGCTGACCTGGGCAGGTTACATCCTGGTCCCAACTGCACTGTCTGCCTCAACGTGACAGGTAAACGAGAATGCCAAAAAGGACCTGAAAGAAGGCCTGCTGCTGTACAACACTGAGAACAATGTGGGGCTGAAGAATGCCTGGAACATCATCCAGGCCGAGGTAAGGGCTGGGCAGCTGCTGACTGCACACAGCAGGGGCCAGCAGGCTGGAAGGGGGGTGGTGGTTGCCTGGGGGGCTGAGTGGGCTGCCTGTGCTTTCCAGATTTTAAGTGGGAGCTGCCGGGTGGTCAGATACAATACAGTGGGATACAGCTAGGAGGGGCAGGAGGTGAGTGAAGGGGGGCGGGCAGGGCCTGGGTGCAGGTGTGGACAGGCCTGAGGGAGCCAGTGCAAGTGGCTAAGTGGGCATAGGAAGCTGGGAAGTATGGATAATCAAGAAGGACAGACCATCCAAGTCTTTTCCTAAAGCTTTGGAATGAGTGACAGAATTTATTTTAGCAACAGACATGCCTTCTTGGTCATGGCAGGCAAGGAGGCTCTGATTCTAGGAGGAGAACAAGTCTGTACAGGCGGGATGCCCCATGGTATGCATTTGGGAAGGGCAGGCAGGCAGCCCAGGACCGTCCATCAAGCACAGAGCCAGGGGGCTGGTGGGGAGCAGAGGAATGTGCACGCCTGCCCAGCGTCCAGCGCCGAGGGGCAGGCAGCATTTCTGCCTCCCTGCTGCGGCCTCCGGGAAGGAGCTGTCGCTTACTTACCCTGTGGGCCCAGTTGAGACCAAAAGTAGGGACAAGAAGAAGGCCTTTGTGTCCTCCGATGGACTATAGGGTGGCAGCTCAGTGAGGCTGGGTTGCCTGGGACAGGGGATGGTCCAGAGAAGGGGCAGGCGGCAGCCTCTCTGACTGTGCACCCCCGCCCACAGATGCGCTGCTGCGGCGTCACCGACTACACGGACTGGTACCCAGTGCTGGGCGAGAACACAGTCCCCGACCGCTGCTGCATGGAGAACTCCCAGGGCTGTGGGCGCAACAGCACCACCCCATTGTGGAAAACGGTGAGGCGTGAGATCCTTCTCCCAGGAGCCCGTGTGGTGGCAAGAAGACACCTATGGGTGAAGGGAGCGTGTCCTGGGGTGCAAAGAATGGACTTAATGTGGAGTGAGGAGGGAGGCACACAGGACTGAAACCAAAAGGCAGGTGGAAAATGGGGTGTGGGGGAGCCTGGACCCAAGTTGGGACTGTCATGGGGTAGGGGTCAGAGGCTGTACGGCAGGACATTGTGGGCAGAGGCCTGGGCAGGGCAGTTCTGCTCAAAAGCGGGAGGACCAGGCTGAGGGGCAGGGAGGGGCAGGAGGAAAAAGCAAGGGCAAGGGCCGGAGGAGAAAGAGGGTGGGGGCTGTGTGGGAGGGGTGCTTGTCCTCACGCTGGGCCCTTAACCTTGTGGTCCTCGCTTGCCAGGGCTGCTATGAAAAGGTGAAGATGTGGTTTGATGACAACAAGCACGTGCTTGGCACGGTGGGGATGTGCATCCTGGTCATGCAGGTAAGAGGGCCCTCGGCCTCGCTGCGTCCCGGCTAGAGAAAAGCAGGCGCCCCAAAGTCACATCCCTGGCCAGGCAGCCTGCCATCCGTGTGCTTTCTCCTGCTCTGAGGCCCCTCCTGAGGACTGCCCTGACCCTGCAGGCACCACAGCGCTGGCCTCCTTGCGTTTCATCTGAGCCTGGGGCCTGACGCTGGCATTGCATGCAGCCCGTGTATGGCTGTGCTGGTGAGCACACCTGTCCCCACCCCACAGGGATGTTTACCCCGAGACTGAACTGAATGGAACCTGAGTTCTCAGTGACGACCATAAGGCATGGGCCCATGGGCCAGACCCCACAGGGGTCAGCCCTCGCCTCACCATCTGTTAGTGCATGTGACCTGCACACACTGGTCAGCTTCTGGGCCTTAATTTCCACATCAGTACAAGGGGCATGGCCATCGTGCCACTTAATGTTGGGTTTAATAGGCCTTGCGTAGGGCATGGAGCAGTACCAGGCCCCCGGGAGGTGCCCTGTGAACATTAGCTATTAGTAGCAAGCACTTAACGACAACTGTCCTTCGTAAGGCCTAGTGTAGATGATGGAGAGGGAGAGGAGGCAACCCCTGCCTCTCCTCTTGAAGGCGAGGCCGGCACTGCTGGCCGGGAACAGGGGACCCCCGGCTTTTCTGGGAACGAGTGTTTCCTACACTCCTGTGCCCTTCATGTATGGCTTCTGTCACTGGTGAGCAGTAGTCTTCAGAGGCTGATTCCTCTTGGAGTACTTGAACGTGCCTGGTAGGTCTGTGGGGAAATAAATGGTTGACACCCTGCATGAAGTTGTCTTTCTTATCTTAAACTCCCGGCCTGGGGGCCTGATCATGTCCCGCTTTATCCAAGGCTTGCAGGCTTAGTGAGGAGCCTGCTGTCATTTTCACAGAGCTGATGTGAGGTGCACTCACAGGGAGCAGGACGCTGTTTAGCACTGAGGATGGGCTCGTCTCAGGTCTTCCTGCACGCAGGCCTGGACCTGGACTGGAGCCCTGGAGTGGCGCTCACCAGCCACGGTCTCCTCCCTTGATGCATAAACCCGGAGTGAGAGAGCCATGAGACGCACGCAGTGTCCCCAGTCACCTGTTTTATGGCCTGTGCCCATCGCACACTATCTGTGGTGACTGAGAGGCCACAGGCTGCCTGCCTCCTGCCTCCTGCACCGCTCTGGGTCACTGCCCCCTTGCAGGATTCACAGGCTTGTCTTAACCGTCATTAGTAAGATGGGTCTGCTGCAGTCAAAGACAGCATGTCATGTGTCAGAGCCAAACAGAAGGGACTCAGCACGGGTTTCTCACGTTCCTGCTGCATTCCTTTCCTTCCTCACTCCCTGTTAGCCACCATTGAGGGTCAGGTCCCTTGTGCTCTCAGGCCTCACCACGGCGTTCTGAACTAGGGAGGCTGCATTCCGTGCAGACAGCTCTGAGGAGCTGCACTCGTCGGTGTGGTACTGACTGGTCACCGTGTGCCCGCCTCTGTTCACTGTGGTCTTCATTTCACCGGTGTTTTTCAGTCACGCAAGTGGTTAAACCATTTGTTTTAGGTGGTCCATGTCAGACCCCAGCTGTGGGGCTTTTATCTAAGGCCCTTCTCTGTGTTTTGCAGATTCTGGGCATGGCCTTCTCCATGACCCTCTTCCAGCACATCCACCGGACTGGTAAAAAGTACGATGCCTAAGTGCCGGCAGGAGGCCCTGGCCCCATGCGGACGCTATGCCAGGGAAGGAGATTTGAGCTTTGTGTTGCCTGCCCGCACTCTAGACTGCTGACTGCTGCCCCCGCCTCCCTCAGCCGCCCTCCCCACCCACCCTGCCTCAGCCTTCTTGGGCTGGCGGGCCAGGAAGGAGGAGGCACAGAGACCTTGGAGTGCTGGGGGTGCCTGGATCCCTACGTCTGTGTATTTGCCAAAGAAGACAGGGTGGGCCAGGGGACATGCTCGAGGAGGCCCCCGCACTGATGTGTGTCCACCGCCCTTCCTCACACTGACACTGCGCCCGAGTCGGGTGCAGAAGGCTCCGTCCTGGTGGAGAGACTGCCCGGCAGAGGCCTCCCCGTGGGGCGGGGGGGGGGCCGCCTCCGGCCAAGGTCCCAGGGAGCATCTTGCCCAGGCTTTTTATACCTTACAGTGTAACTTTTTAATTTTATTTTACTCTGATTATGATTATTCAGGAATATTATCTCAGATAAGTTTAGGGTTAGATTTCTGATTTATAACTTTTTACTGCATTGATTTCTGTAACAATTTGATTTTTTTTGTTCCTTGAGGGTGGGAGATGGGTGGGAGAGAGCGTGTTGTCGTCTGGCTCAGTCAGGACAAACCGCTGTGCAGCGCTCAGGAGGTGCCGGGGCGAGATGCTCTCAGAACACACCGAGAGGAGGGCCCGTCGGGACTGCGCCCTGGCCCAGTGGCGTCTGGGGCACGTGAGCCTGGAAGAGGAGGTGAAGTGGAGGAGCGGGAAGCAGCGTGGAGGAGCGTCCTGCACAGGAGTGATGTGTCTGTGAATGCGGGTGCAGGAGGCCAGAGCAGAGGGGGCTCTTGGGGGCTGGCGAGGTGCTTTGCCAGGAATATGGCTGGAGCAGTCGTGGGTGGTTCTTCATTGACGAGCAGTTGTTCTTTTCCCTTCTTTACTCCTGCCCTCTGTGGGCATGGAGGCTTCCCCTTCTCCCCGCCGCAGGTTCTGCAGACCCAGTGATTTCACAGACATTCCTGCTAGAATCTCTCAGACACATACCTCCAGTTCAGCTGCTGCTCACTTTCTCACACTGCTTCTGGAAGGGGAAGCTGTCCTGAAGGTTTGCTGCTCAAACAGTGGCAGAGGACCCATGCCAGTCAGGAGGGGCAGGTGGGCATGGTGTCCATGATCATTCCAGCTGAAGTCACTGAGCTGCAGATTCCCTGCTAGGAAGGAGGGAGAAAGGTCCATCCAGATCCCAGGACCCTCATCTCCTTTCTCAGGGTTCACTGATGGAGGGGCAGGTGGCAGTCACATCCTCTGTGACCCCAAAGAAAAGTACAGGAAACTGAGAGAGGTCAGACTGGATCCTGTAAGGTCGCCCCAGGACAGAAGCAGCCTGAGACCAGGCCTGGGAGGTGAGCAGGCGGGTGGGACGTTAGACTGCAGCAGTGTCCCACCCAGACTCATGCTGCTCCAAGTGAGCATTTTGCGCTTAAGGAAAGAGTCAAGAATCTATAGGACAAAGCTTAAAAATCTTCCCCACTAGCTAGGTAGGACCCAGTGCACTTCCGCTGGTGGGGCCTCCGGGTGGCTGCCTTTTCCTCCACCACTTGGCTCCACACCCAGTTTTCCCAGGAGAGACCAGGCCTTCGTCTCCTCTCTGGCCTCTACCTGTCTGCTGTAAGAGCTGAGACCTGGCCACCCTGCCAGCAGCTCCTCCACGAAGCTTAAGTGCAGTGCCGTCAGGACCGGGAGTGCAGAACTTTCAGTGAGCTCAGGATGCATGGTTTTGGTAGGGGGAGCGGAGTAGTCTCAGTGAGTTGGGCAGTAAAGCCATCCTCCTGAGCCTGGAGCACTGGTGCAGGTGGGAATGCTGGGAAGGTAGGGCCTAGGTGGAGGATGGACAAGCACACGTGGGACAAAACTGCCTCTGGGTCCTCTGGCCTGCCTTCTCGGTGAGGAACTTCAGCCTCCTTCCCAGGTGCCCCAACCTACAGAGCCCAGAGAGACACTCAGCAAACACGCATTCAAGTCGCACAGTGAGACCTGGTACATAATGAGTTTATGCTGGGGGTGGGTGGGGTGGGTTTGTTTATGCTTATCAATGCAATTTTTAATTTTTGTTAAGATCAACAGCAAAAGCCTAGCCCCGTGGGGGCTGTGTAGCCTCCCTGGCAATCTCATTTCCAGGGACTCAGGGGCATCCTCTGGCCCTGAAAACCTTGCCACAAACCCCCTTCCTGCTGCAAGCCCCCCATTTCATCCATCTGTTCCCAGAGCCTTGTCCACAGTTTCCAAACCCCCTGTTCCCCTCACCCTGTGCTTGGTTGTCTCCTCATGCAGCCAAGGCTGCCCCGGGTGGGAGGCGCCGTGCCTGGGCCCGGGTGCTCTTACAATCCCTTGTCTGGCTCACACTGCACAAAAAGCCTCCACCATGGCTTCATCATGAAAGTCAGAGTTAGTTTAATCAGGTCTGCTGCAGGTGGTTTACAGAAGGCTCAGAAGGTCACGATCCTGTAGACAACTTTAAGGGAATGCCTGCCGTGGCCTTTCCCTGCAGCACACTTGCTGCGGCAGGTGTTGGCAGGAGTCTCTGCCCGCAGTCCCAGCACTGCCAGCCCTCTCCCTGCCGGCCTGGGCCTGCGCCTTGGGCTCTCACTCTGGAAAGGGTGCTGAGCACACCCAGATGCTCACATGGATGTTCTAGTCTGACTTGGAACTAGGTGGCCATCCCTCCTTGTTTTAGTGGCCAAAAAAGCAGTCGGATGGATGGAAATGACTGTCCCGGCTCTCTGGCCCCCTGCCCACCCACTGGTGGAGGTGCTAACTAGCAGGGATCTGGCATAGGATGGGAGCCGGGGCCCGGTGCACGGGGTCTGCTCTTTGTCCTTGGGCCCTTCAGAGTCCACCTGCTCATGTTCCCATTCTCGCATTTCCCTCCACATCCCACGGTGCAGCAGCAGTCCCGGGTGGGGCCTGGCCTTCCTGCCCAACTGGGGGTGAGGGTGAGTCTGGGGCATGAGCCCCACCCTGGCTGGCACTGGAGCAGCTCGGGAGGGCGGGGAAGCACGCCTGTTGGTTTCAAATGCACTTTTCTGCTTGTGATTCCGTATCTGCGTTTCCTTCATCCTGGTCCTGGCTTTATTGAACACCATGTTTTTAGCATGTTTTTAAATAAAAACTGATAATGTGTCAAAAGCACAAGCATGTTGTCCCTTTGTGGTGTGTTTGCTCACTCAGCCACAACTGACGTGTGCCATGTCGTGGTTGCTGTGAGCGACCAGGGGTATCGAATGCCAGTTCTACTCTTTGTCCAAGGCTCACCCCACAGCTGGACCTTGTCCCTCCTTCTGGGGCCCAGGTTACAGATACACTGGGTTGGGCAGGTCTTTCTGTGGGTACCTGCAGAACCTCAACACCCTCTCTGCCCAGTGACAGGATTCGGGTTTGGTTGGGGCCTGTCCAAGTGGCCCAAGCCCTCTGCACAGGAGCGCAACTCCCACCTGCACATCTGTCCTGCCCAGACCACCAGTGCTGTGGGCCAGACCTGGAGTGTGCTGGGAGGGGGCCGGCAGCAAGTCAGGGGGGGCTTCTCGTGGGGGCAGGGCCGCTGGATTTTGGTGCACTGTGTCCCCATCCCTCAGATGATCCTAGGTTTCATTTGAGCCCGATGTCTCTTCCAGGAGTGAGGAGCCTTGCTCTGTGACTGCCTGGGTGACACTCTCTTAGGTGGCTCTGAAATGGCCTCAGACAGGTACAGAAACACCGAGTCAGTTTGGGGCGGCCAGTGGGGAGGGAAGGAGGCCCTGAAACCACGTGAGTTCCCGGTTCTGCCGCCTCACTGCAGGAGAGGTCTCCCATCTTCCTTGGTGGCTGTAGTCACAGTGAGAGTTTACAGCCGAGAGAAGCTCAGATGTCATCCTGCCCTGGGCCAGGGAATGATGTGCCTCCTGTGCTGGGAAGGGGCGGGAATGAAGAGCGAGCGTGCAGCGTGGGTGTGGTGGGGCAGGAGCGACATCTCCCAACCCCTCCCTCCTCCTCAGGCGAGGCCAGAGGGGCATGGAGCTGTCCCGCAGCATCCACCTTCTGGGCTGTGTCCTGCAGCTGCTGTGTCCCAAAGTCTCCAGGGATTTGCTGAGGGTTGAGGAGTCTGAGGTGACCCCTCTGACAAAGGTCCGGATGGAATGGGGTCCTTGAATGCCTCCCTAAGGTTTACCAGAGGAGACCTTGTGGCTCTGGGGTCAGGAGTTGGTCATGGCTAAGGGATGGGTGACCCTTCATCATCCTCTGAGGACCAACCAAGTCACAGGAATGTGGGTGGAAGCTACTTTGTCTCTGCCCGTTCTTGCTCTCACCACTGCCCCTCAGCCTGTGGACACACCCCTCTGGAATACCACCTGCATCTCTGCTGTTTGCTTTCTGGGGACAGAGTGAGATCTACTGGCTCTCAGAACCCTGGAGTACACCAACTGTTCCATGAGTACTGGGCTCTGGTCCGATAAGCTAAGCCATGAAAGGCGGCCACCCTGGCTAGGCAGGAAAGGGGAGTCCATGGGAGGGCTGGGCTGGGCATCTTTTTTCCTAGACGCTAAACTAGATCCTTCTGGGATGGTTCTGGGCTCTTCAGCCCACGGGATGAGGTGGCTGAGACGACTCTGGAGGTCCTCCCTTGCTCCCCACTGAGATGGTGGGATAGGTCCTGCCTCCCATAGACACCCAGCAAAGGACAAGTGAGAAAGGATGGTTTGTGAGCAGCAGCACTGCAGGTTTAGTATGCGTATGGGAGCCTACTTAGAATGGCCCTTCTGGGGCTTGCAGAGATGAGATGTTTGTCACGTTAGGACTGCCTGAACACTGGCTTGTGCCGAGCCACCTGAATGCAGTGGTGAATGACCTGGGCCCAATCTCTGTGCTTGTCTAGGGGGCCGCAGGGGAGTATAGGGGTTACAACTCAGCGCTCTGGTGGTGATGTGCACTAGGCTGAAGAGCCACTGGCCCCTCAGCTCAGTGAAGCTGCAGCTGAGAGCTGGTCAGGAGTGGCAGGAGTTGTCCTGTTAAAGTCACAGGGGCTGGTGCACAGAAGGTGAAGGGCCTGTCTGGGGAGAGCAGCATGCCAGGAGAGAGTTTGAGCTTTAAGCTGAGAGCAATGGGAGCCACCAAGAGGTGGGAAGCTCCGTGACTGCCCTTGAGAACCCTCACTGTGGCTGCGTGGTGGAAAATTGTTGAGGGTATAGGGTGGGTGCAGGGACACCAGGGGGAGCTGCTTCAGTGATTCAGGTGAAAGGTGACTCAGCCCTCAGAAGTGCCAGTGGGATGGAGAAAAAACAGATTTGAGAGACCCACAGCAAGCTGACAAGCCTTGGTGACTGACTAGACTCATTGTGGGGAGAAAGCACATTCTTGCCATTCATCTGGTGTGATGGAGATGACCTCATGTGTAGATGGCTCGTGGCTTTCACCAAGTGGAGGGTGGGTGTGTGTTCTGGGCTCAGTGCTCGTGGGCAGAGACCAGTAGGGTATAATTACATCTTCCCTTTTGTTTGTTTTGAGCATCACAGCTTGCACAGTGCTTCCTCAGACATTACCTGGGTTTGTCCTGGCCACAACCGGTTATCAGGTGCCCCTGGACCAGGTCTGGGTGGGGGGAACGCTGGCTTGGGGGTTGGAGGACCTGGGTAAGTTCCCACTCTGCCACCTCTGTCCGTCTCAGCCATCAGCCTTGCCATCATTGGCTGTCTTGGTTTTGTCATCCACACAATGAGGATAATGCATTTTACAGATTTGCTGTGAAGAGCAAACAAAAACACGTATGTAAGGACATCCAGCTTGTTCCTGGGCCAAGGTTGGTGCTTGTCAAGAAAGCTGTCAAATCTGGGTTCTTAGGGGTCCCAAGGAAGAGTACCCCCTGGCTGAAAGCTGGGCCCCAGGGGAGCGATGTGGAGGGGGAGCAAGCAGGCTGGAGATGTGCGGGGCACTTCTCTCAGGCCTTGGCTTGGTGTTGGGCCAGCCCCAGCGGCATTTCCCGATCCACAGGAGCAAGAGGGAAGTCACATTCCAACGAATGTCATTTGAGGCACAAAAATACTGGCGTTGCAATGGCTCCTTCCTAAAGCATTCAGTAAAGATTGGGAGGCTGCTGATTTAGCCATCCCATTCTGCTGCGTTCAGTAACAGCCACAGAGATGGACTCTCATAGCTCCTTAACCTGACAAAAAAGAACGGCAGCTCACCATGGACATGCTCAGACCAGGCTCTCCAACTGCAGCTGGGGTTTCCCCTTGGTGGCCCCAGAGACTGCCTGGCAGCTGAGAGTCCCTGGGCTCACCTGGGCGCCGTATGGCTCCCCATGGTGTCCATTGGCTCCGCAGAGAGCAGGGATGGGAGCAGCAAGGCCGCATGGCGGCTGTGGCTGTGGCTGGCGGGTAGAGCATGTTGCTCAGAGGTTTCCTCCCAGTGGCTGCAGAGTTCCGGGAGCTCATGTCACCTGATGTCCAGAGCAGGGCCTATCCTACAAGTCGGCAAGACCAGCCCCCTAAGTGTTCTGACATTTAATGGCGTAAGGAAGCCCCCTGGCCTTTTGTCTCCCTCCTCCCGCCCTAACTCCCCCTACTTAACTCCTGTAATCTCATTATATTTCTTTTTTAAAAATATTTTATTTATTTATTTTTAGAGAGAGAGGATGGGAAGGAGATAGAGAGGGAGAGAAACATCAATGTGTGGTTGCCTCTCATGTGTCCCCCACTGGGGACTTGGCCTGCAACCCAGGCATATGCCCTGACTGGGAATCGAACCAGTGACCCTTTGCTTCACAGGCCTGCACTCAATCTATTGAGCTACACCAGCCAGGGCTCATTATATTTCTTTTCCTCTGTCAAGAAACCCCAGCTCTAGAGAGAACTCAGCCTTTTTATTTTACTGGTTGACAACTCAGGGAGAGCATGTTGAGTTTGATCTCTGGCTTCCAACTTGGGGTTTTCTAAACCTTGGCTAGGGATCTGTGAGCCACTTAGGAAAATGTTCCTGATCTCTTCAAGGAGTGCCTGGGCTGATGGGGACATGAACCTGCATGGCTCTGGCCGGCCTGGCTCTGGCCTCAGTGCAGAGCCATAATTTGCACCTGGCTGAGGGCAAGGGCTGAATTCAAGTCTTCCTCGTGGCCTCTTCAGCCTGGCCTGAGCCCCAGGCTCCCCTGGGTCCCCCTGCGGCGCCCCCTCCTCCCTGCTCAAGTCATTGCCGGACTGGGTTTCCGCTGGTGACTGAAGCAGCAGGAAAAGAGAAGTAGGGGCTTCTCGTGGGTTTGTTTTTGGAAGTGAATAATAATGTGAAACTTATTTTATAATCTTTTCATGAAAAGCTTGGTTGAAAATTAAAAGAAAGAGAAGGGGGGGGAAGGGGAAGTGCACAGATCTCTGTTTTGTCCCCTATTGTCCCTTGCCCTACTGGCAGCCTCTATTCTCAGCTGGGGACAGGAGGTGGGAACCAGAGTCCCATCCAGCTGGAAGTGGCAGCTGACAGGCTAGTAGCAGCCACGAAGGGCGACAGCTTCAGCAAAGGCTTCCAGGCCTCCACAGGCAGCCGGGGCTGTGTGTAGTGGGGATTGGGGCTGCAGGGGTGCTCCTCCCTCTTGGGGCACGTTTGGTGCTTGTGTGTACAAGTGCACACTCACGCTCACGGTGGTGGTGGTGGAGTGCAGACAGCGAGTGTGAGGAGAGAGGCAACTGTGGACTTGCCCTTAGACTGGGTCTGCTCTCCTGCCCGACAGGACAGCCATCAAAGGGCCCCCACCGGGATTGTTCGGTGGATGGGCTTGACCAAAGGGGCCCGGGGGGCACTAGAGAAGGGCTGAGAGATGGTGACCCCTGTGAGGTGGGTCCCACCTAAGCGGGTCGGTCTGCCTACACAGCCAGCAAGCCGGGCAGCCCCTCTTCACACCGGGTTCACGCCAGGCAGATGGCTTGCCTCCAGCCTGCTCCTCCCACCCCACTGTACCCTAAGTCCCTCCATCTGGGGCTCCCCAGCATCCAGTTTACCCAGGTACTCTCAGGCTCCCTAACTGAGCCCACCCCGTCTCAAACAAGTTTTTTAGACAGGATAGTGAACGAAATAGAATGAAGGTTTTATGTCAAAGTACTTACTTCCTTTTAGCTCCTCACGGGGCAACCTGGTGCGCTCAGCTCCTCTGAACCATTAGATGAAAGTCTTCCTGTGTTGGCATGAAGAGAGCCTCACTCTGGTTTGGGGGTGAGGGCAAATCAGTCCAGGTGGGGAGATACGAGCACTCTGGGGAGAGATGGTCTGGGGGTCCAAGGGGCAACAGGAGGTGTGTCTCAGCTGGAAACGCTTGGCTGGGAGCCTGATGGCCAGCCAGAGGGCCCTGTACTCCTGACCTCCCCCGCAGCCCTGCACTGGCGCAGCCAGCAGGGTGTTGCTGGACGAGCACACCGCAGACTGATCAGCAGAGGCTGGCCAGGCCTGATGGCCAGCCGGCGGTGAGGGAGCACCAGCTGAGCAACGGCAGGGAGCTTTGAGAGTAACACAACTCTGACACACGTGTTTGAGCCTGGCTCTCATGGAAAGGTGAGGTCGGTGCAAACAGTAAGCCTGGGAGCTGGACAGAAGAAGGGCAAGCAGGATGCTAATCAGTGTGGTCAGTGGGCATGGCTCCCTCCCCCTTTCTCTCCCTTTCCCCATGACTGGCCTCTGCTTCAACATGAAGCTGATGGCCTGGGACTTCCCTGCAGAGGAGGAAAAACGGCAACAGAAGGTTGTCCTAGGTACAGGTCCTTTATTGTCATGCCCCCTGGCATATGAGGCTGGGCTTACATGGAGGCCAGCTGTGGAGGATGCATGTTCACAACTAGAGCAATTTCTCTCTATGCGATAGGTTAAGGCAACTTCACTGTTTGCAGAATATTGTGACAGTCATGTCCAGGGCAGCTGGTTCCAGGAGCCTGTCTGGCTGCAGCAATACTGGGCCACCTGGAAACAGGTGTGGCGCCAGCACTGGGTGTCTGCGGTGCCTCAGCAGTAGGGAAGAGGGCACACGGGAGGCTGAGAGATGGAGCCTGGGGCTGGGTGTCGCGCTGCAGAAGACGGCTGTGGTGAGAATGGAGTGGGGCAGCAGGTGGTAGGAAAATGAGGCTGGACTGTAAACCTGTTCCCTCTGGGCAGAGGACGCTGGCCCTCTCTCCCAGGGCCACAGACCCGCTCTGAGTCCCACTTGAATCCCAGACAGAGGGCAGGGAAGGTGCTGAGGGTCACACAGAGAGGCACTGTTCTGGCTGGCAGTGAGCTGCCCACTGGGGCACTGTTTCACCCGCCCTCTCAGAGTGGGACCCAGGCTGGACAGCCTTAGCCATTTTTGAACCCAGGGGGCCTTGACGTACAGAGATGGCCGGGTGTCCTCATTAGTGCTGTGGTCTAAAGCGGTAGTCCTCCAAGTGTGCTCACAGGGCCAGCAGCATCCACATCGCCTGGGAACTAGCTAGAAACACGAATCTGTGGCCCTACCCCTCTGGCAGGGAAGGAGAGGGACAGTAATTTGTGCTAAAAAGCCCTTAAGGTGGTCCTCATGCAGGCTCAAGTTTGAGAACTCACAGGTGCAGACACTTCAAGGATGTGTAGACACATCCTCGGTGGGTGTGAGCGCCACCCAGCTGTGACACAAAATATGGGGTTTCTCCTTAGCCAGTCAAGCCATCTCCCCTTCTCCACTTCTGTCCTCAGGCCCCAGGTGGCCAGTAAGTGGAGAATGTTTTCAAGGCTGAGAGTGGGGTGAGAGTAGTGGTGAAAGTAACTGTTTTAAGTCACATTCTTTACCTCTAGACCCTGAAGAAGGACCTGGAGCAGCAGGTTCCAAGACTAAAACTGTCTGTGGGGCACGAGGGCTCTGGGGACACATCACCCTGTCATATCACCCCCACCCCTCCTCAGGGCCAGGCCCATGGCCATGCACAGGGTGGGTGGCCTGATGAGAGCCTCAGCTGGAGACCGCTCACCCTGAGCCCACCCAGTGGCCCAGCATTGGCAACAAAGGGGGGAGGAGGCAGGTGCCCTTGGCGGCCCAGGGTGGCTCTGTGAGGCAGGAGATCGCATGGGGCTGGGAGAGGCATGTGCTGCTCGCTTGCCCCTGGACCATGGTCCCCACACGGACAGGAGATTTCACATCCTGTTGAGGATTCCGGTTGCTGAGGGAGGTCTGCCCTCACTGGGGTGTCAGCACGGGCAGGCCAGCTGCTCACCTGAGCAATGGCCCCGGGTGCCTGCTTGTCTGAGTCACTTCACCAGGAACGTCCCGCTGCCAGCCTGAAGGAGCCAGACTTCCCTTCCAACTGCAAAGGTGCAGGGGTCCAGCTCGGGGAGGTGGGGGCAAATGGCAGTTCTGTCCCATCAGGGGTTAAGAAGCTGCTGCTCCTCCACAGCGCCCCCTGAGGGACACGTGGCCCCTGAATGTCAGCCTGTCTCTTTTTGTTTCCATCTTTTCTTTTGTTGTTCAAGTACAGTTGTCTCCATTTTCCCCCCACTACTCCCTCCAACCCCAGCCACCCCCACTTCTCACCCCTTTGGCTTTGTCCATGTGTCCTTTATACATGTTTCTTGATGATCCTTCTCCCTTTTCCTCCCATTATTCCCTCCCCTCTGGTCACTGTCACTTTGTTCTTTATTTCAACATCTCTGGTTATATTTTGCTTGCTTGTTTGGGTGATTAGGTTCCACTTATAAGTGAGATCATATGGTATTGGTCTTTCACCAACTGGCTTATTTTGCTTAGCATAATGTTCTCCAGATCCACTCATGTTGTCGCAAAGGGTAGGAGCTCCTTCTTTCTTTCTGCTGCATAGAATTCCATTGTGTAAATGCACCAGAGTTTTTTGATCCACTCATTTACTGGTGGGCACTTAAGGTGCTTACAGCACTTGGCTATTATAAATTGTGCTGTGATAAACACTGGGGTGCATAGGTTCTTTTGGATTGGTGTTTCAAGATTCTTAGGGTATAATCCCAGCAGTGGAATTGCCAGGTCAAAAGGCAGTTTCATTTTTAGTTTACTGAGGGAGTTCTGTACTGCTTTCCATAGTTGCTGCACTGGTCTGCATTCCCACCCACAGTGCACTAGGGTTCCCTTTTCTCCACAACCTCACTAGCACTTGTTTTTTGTTGCTTTGTTTATGATGGCCATTCTGACCGTTGTGAAGTGGTATCTCATTGTGGTTTTAATTTGCATCTCTCTGATGGCTAGTGATGCTGAGCATCTTTCCATTTGTCTCTAGATCGTCTGTATGTCCTCCTTGGAGAAGTGTCTGTTCAGGTTCTTTGCCCATTTATTATTTGGGTTGTTTGTTTTCCTGGAGTGGAGTAGTGTGAGTTCTTTACATATTTTGGAGATTAAACCCTTGTTCAAGGTGTCATTGGCAAATATGTTTTCTCTTATGGTTGGTTCCCTTTTCATTTGTCTGATGTTTTCTTTAGCTGTGTAGAAACTTTTTATTTTGATGAGATCTCATTTGTTTATTCTTTCCTTTATGTCCCTTGCTCTAGGGGACATATCTGTGAAGGTATTGCTGCTTGGAATATCTGAGCTTTTCCTGCCTATGTTCTTGTCTAGGACTTTTACAGTGAGCCTGGTGGTTTCTTACAGATGGAGAGCTGAGTGGCGCTAGGGAGAGGGGGCGCTGTGACAACAGCCACTGCTACTGACTGGCAAGCAAGTCTCTCAACTTCTGTGAGCTGTAATTTCCCTATTGGTAGATTGGGGAATATACTCCATTATCACAATCACTGCGGATGATTTATGTCTGTGATGGACATATTCTAAGCTTGCAATAGGCCTTCAGTAAACATAGGGTCCTGGGTACCGCCCCCATATGGCTATACCTCAGGAGCTCCTGGAACTGGGGAGGGGGAAGGGAGAAAGAGAAAGATGGTCCCCTCACCAAAGGCCAAGTCACACTCCTCTGTCTCCAAACACATGTCACCCAGGGAGTCGGGGGATGCATCACCCCTTCTCCCTCTTGGGGTGGCTGCCCTGTGGGTGGAGGGAGGGAAGGGCAGCTTGGTGAGTTCAGGGGAATGTGTGGTGACCTCGGTTGGTTCATATTCCAGCACCTGCTGTGGCCAGACCTCTGCAGAACGCTGGCTTCCTTTCTGGGCCCTGATGTGCTGGGGCCTTGGGTCCACACGGGAGAGTGTTGGCTTTCAGCAGGCTTGCCCTTCTCTCTCTCCAAGGAGCTCAGGGCTGTGACAGCCTCCAAGGAGGGACCTGGGAGGAGCTGTCCTGGGCACAGATCTGTGTGCTCACGGGCAGGGCTAGCGATCCCCTGCAGGTGACAGTACCCTAGCTCTGTACGTGAGCCTTCAGCATACCCCTGGGGAACTGGCCCTACCCCGAGCCTCTGTCTCCTCTAACCCTGCTTCATTTCCTAGGCTGTCGGCATGAACAAGGAGGACAGCATTCTGAAAAGTTCTGGGCTGTCCTCTCCCTCTCTCTGCCTGGGCCAGCCCGCTATCCTGCAGTAGCACTCTGGACAAGACGCCTCCCACAGCAGGAACCACAGCTCAGCCTGCCCCCTGACAGGCCAGCCCTGCAGTGTGGAAGGTTGGGGCAGAAAACCAGGTTCTCCTGGTCTCCCTGGTGACAAAGCTGTGCAACTGACACCCACCCATTGCTGCCATCCCCATCTCCACAGGCCTGGGTGACCTCAGTAAAGAAGGAAGGGACCCCACCAGGGGCAGACATGTGACAGGGTCATTGCCTCCCATTGCCGCCTCCCTTGGGCCCCTCAGCAGGAAGAGCATGGCTCTCCTTCTCGGCCCATGTTCGCTGAGACTCATTAGTCCTGGGAGGCTAGAAGGCAGCAAAGACAATCACACCTCTGTTTCTTTCATCCTGTGTGCAGTCTGGGATTGCTGGGACCGCTGGTCTGCCTTCTAATGAATTCGTGTTAGCCAAGGCCCTCCAGGTAGAGGATCTAACCTGGCTAGGGTCCCCATGGCCCCTAGAGGGTCCGCAAGGCAGGGAGGCAATCTGTCCTGGGAAGTTGCCCTCCTCTGTGCATGGGGCCATCCCTGGTCAGAGGATGTGCAGTTTCTGCAAAATCGAGGGCTGTACTGGGGACAGCAGTGACCTGTGCACAGGAATCAGAACATCCTTCACCCAGGACGGACCCAGTCCAGCAGAGCTGAGGTCATCAGACTGAGGCTGAGAATGAGTGGGGGCAAGGGGTGACCTTCCTTGGCCTTGGTTTCAGCATAACAAGGGACCACCTCTCCTGAGTGGGAAGTAAGAGGGTCTCCAGGAGGGAAGTGCAGGACCTGGGAGGTGTGGAAGCCAGGGAGAATTTTTCTGTCAGAGTTGCCCATTTGTCACAGCCATCTGAGATAGTCCCTTTGGCTGTCTTAGGAGTTGACACCTTTCTTTGTAAAACTGCCAGCACTTACACTCTGCATTTTCTAGAACTTGTTTTCTGTTCTCCCTTAATATCTGGGAAAGTTCTTCCTGAAGATCCGCTGCCTTGTTCAGAGATGTGAGAACTGAAGGGAGGGACTGTGTTTACTCTGGGGAGAAGAGCAAGGTCCCTGGAGGCTGCATGCTGGTGGCCACATGGTCAGGAAGCATGGACCTAGGACAAGTGAGGTGCAGGGCAGAGCACTCCTGTATATGAAACTTCACCTTGTCAATGGCTCCAACTTGGTGGGGTCTGTGATTTGGCCTAATCAAGAGGGAGTGTCACACCTGCCCACATTAAGTGCTGAAGGTCTAAAGTCCTGGCATTCCTGAGAACCAGACCACAGGCAGGAGATTCCAGAAGTGGTGTAGATTACTGGTTGCTGGAGTCTGGGGCCTTGTCTCCCAGGGCACACCCCTCTTCTGGGGAAGGCCTCAGGTGGCACAGGCTCCTGGTGCAGCACGTGCTGGTGGAGCCGGCTCCCTCCCTTTGCTCCCTGCCCCCAGCTCCATCAGGCCCACCACTGCCCAAACCCAGCTCCCAGCTGCTGTACCTCGGACCTCGTTCTCTCTGCTCCCAGGCCCTGCAGAAAGCAAGCAGGGCATCAGGAAACTCCTTTGCCTCGAGAAGGCTCGGGGGTGGGCAGATCAAAGACCTGGGTCTTCTGGGAGCAGCTATAACCCTAACTTCCCCACCCCGATGCATTTCTGGGAGGCAAGAGCAACATACCCAAAGCCTGGGCCGAGGTGAGAGGAGGGCTGCAGCACCTGTGGGGGTCATGCTGAATGCCAGGTCCAGAGGGGTCAAGGTTAAAGCCTTTGGATGTAGGTTCGGGAGCTGGGAGGGAACAGAGAGCCCGATTCTCCCTCACCTGCCTGTGGTTCACAGAAGCTTCACGACTGGTGAGGGGCTTTGGCTGTTGTCCCTGGAAGAGACAGTCCCCTGCCCCGGGGGCTCTGGCGCTGAGCACCCAGGAGTAGAGGTTGGGGCCAAGGGTCCCTAGTTGGGTGGGAACTGCAGGAGCCATGGTCTTGGGCATTTAGTGGGTCTGAAGGCAGTGGGCGCTGGGGGAGTTTCTAGGTGAGCTGATGTTGACTCCACAGGCTTGGCAGGTGGGACTTGGGCTCCTGTTCTTGCGAGAGGCAGTTGGAGGGACGCACAGTTGGCCATTAGTGAAAACGCAGCTGGAGCCTCCGATGCAGGCAGCAGGTGAGCACCATCCCGCAGGTCTGCCACGAAGAGAGAAGAGAAGGCAGAGAGATCAGGCCCCCACTGCCCAGGGCAGTGCCGCAGAGCGCAGCTTCTCACAGTGGGTATGCACCTGGGGCCTTGGTCAATGGTGGGTTCCCACTCAGGGGGTGGGAGGTGCTGGGATTCTGCAGTTCTGGCAAGCTCCTGGTGACGCCGGGCCACCTGCGAGGGGAACATGCTCTGGAAACTGCAGTCCAAGAGCAGCATTTCTCACACTTTAATGAGAACGAACTGCCCAGGGACCTCACTTTGGATGAGGGCCGAGGTTCTGTATGGCTGACGAACAAATGAGCCCTCAGTCCTGGCTGCTGGTTTGTGGTCCAGAGCTTCTGTAGAGACAGCCCGCTTGCCACCCGGGCAGCCTTTCTCCAGGGACCTGTCTATGTCCTGCTGCTCTGACTCCAGATCAGAACCAATGGCCATCACTGACTTGTCAATGTTCAGAAGCACTGAGGAAACCAAGGCCCTAGGAGGAGCACCCAGAGCTGTCACCAGCTTATCCTGCAAATGAGCTTGGAATGTGGCACCAAACCAGGCCCTAGGTGCCTGCCTGACAGCCCCTCTGTCACACCCACTCGCTGAATAAGAAGGGGCTGGAACATCCTGCCCAGAGCATGGCCATGCTGGGTGGTCACTTCCTCCTGGTCTCACTTTCCTGTGAGGAACAAAGGTCTGCGCCACAGAGGACCTTTGTTCTCCCACCTCATTTGCCTCTTTCCTCCTCTTCCTCTCCTTCCTTCCACCCAAGGATGCACTGAGGACAAGATGAACAAGAAGAAGATGTGTTATATTGAGGAGGCCCACGACTATGATCGTGCCCCTGACAGTGAGGCTGTTGGGGCCTGCCAGAGAGGGGCACTGTCAGGGTGGCCCATGGTGTCCTGTGCACCTGGGCAAGGATGCACTTCCCCAAATATAGGAAAAATGCCTCGTCCTCCCCACACTGTTCGGCAGGTGCTATGAATGACTGGAGGGAGACAGGCCGGGGACAACTCCCGTGGGCTGCCAGGCCCCTGGTTGCTCTTTGCAAGGCTGGCTTACGAAGTTAGTGGGAGCTGCCCCCTTCTTCTCCTCCCTCCTCTCCATTCTAAGTGGGAGGATGGTGGGGCCCTGTGAACACAGCTTTCAGCCTTCAGACTTGGTGTAAGAGCAGGGCTAATCCACCTCAAGTACTCAGAGCCACAAGCCAAAAGGGGGCTAAAGAGGTTATTCTGCCTCCCACTGGCTTTAAGCAGGCAGTTGTAACAGCCATTCTGTGCAGGCATCGTGCAGCACGCCCCTCTCCTGTCCCCCTCCCCTCCTTGGTTAATGACGTGCCCTGCGGGGTTGTCTGGATCTTTCTGATCCTTGCTGAGGGGGAAGCTGGAGGCAGCAGGTGCACCAGCACAGACTTGTGGCTACACCTCCTACAGTGCATACCTGATGTTGGGGGCAGACCAGGAGGGCTGAGGCCCCCAACACGCACACCTTGTATGAGATGTGTGTTCCCAGGGTGCCTCCCAGGGAAGGCACAGTGAAGGTGGAGGTGTGCGGGCCAGAATCTCAGCAGTGCATGCACACACACACAGTCACACCACCCTTATGCATGCAGTGCAGAGAGGTAATGGATGCACTCATCAGTGTGTGCACACTCCTGTGCATGCGCACACTCACCCTGATTCAGGTCCATGAGTGAGCAGCAGTGTCTCCTTCCTGACAGAAGACACCAGAAACCAGCACAAAGGCTCCAGCGGCCAGCACCGGGGCAAGCAGAGAAAATGCACCAGCGACTGCAGGAGCAGGTTATGGCTACCCGGACCCAGCCTGCTTGGCTACAGTGCTCCCTCTGGACAGCCCATCAGGACGCAGCACTGAGCACTGGTGGGGCTTTTTATCAGAGAGGCCAGCGTGCTTTCGGCTTCCCCTGAGATTTCTGAGCCAGCAGCTTGCTGTCATCAAGAGCATCAGGGGAGGGCCAGGGAGTCCCAGGAAGCCATTCCAGAATGACACTCGGCTCCCTCGATGCCCCACAGCTGCTAACCTCACTGCTTTGTGAGACAGCCTTCTGGTCTCTGCAACATGGTTCTGTCCTGAAGTGTGGGAATGTTGGGTGGGAGTGGGAGTCGGCTCACTTCTGTTTGGAGCTGTGTGGCCTTGGGTACAATTACACCCCTCTCTGAGCCTCAAGTCCCCCTCTATCAATAGGAAAACCTCTGACTTCAGGCTAGATTTCCTCCAGTTCTGGGGACCAGGGAAACATTGTGCCACTATCCTGGCCTTGTCTATCCTGGGCCTTGAGGATCTTTGAGGTGCCAGGCTGGGCGTGTGTGGGAAGGTGCCTGGAGTGTGCTCCGGCCGGAGGATGGCTGTGAGCCTGAAGGTGAGTCCTGGTCTCATTTTCCTGTCTCTGTGCCATAGAGGAGCTTTATTCACCCACCTTCATTTGCTCTTCATTTGCCTCCTTCCTCCTCTTCCTGTTCCTCTCCTTCCCCCAAACCCGGGGTGCACTGAGGGCTGTGAGCTCTCCAAGGTCGGCAGCTGATCTGGACTTGGGCAGCTTAGTCCCAGTGCTGGCCAGCAGAGGGAGCTTCGACCCGAGGCTTGGCTGCTGTGGGGCCAGCCTCAGAGGAGCGGAGGGGAGAAACAGTCAGGGGGTTGGGGCCCAGGGCAGAGGCCAGGAGACGCTTTCTCTAGGGGACACTAAGAGCAATTCCACAGTGAGCTGGACCAAGACTTTTCATGGTGGGGAGTGATGCATCTGTGGCTAGCAGGCACCCTGCTAGCCACGCTGGCCTCCTTGACACCACTCCCAACCGGGGGACATGTGCCGCTCTGACCCCAGGCTCAGGCCATTCGTGGCCCCTCCCTCACTGCCCTTGGCTTTCTTGCCCCTGTCTTCTGCTTCTCAGGCTCTCCAGGCCAGGGAGGTCAGAAAGAAATGGATGGAGAGTACGGCCCCGGCCTAATCAACGTCCCCTCAGGGCCAGCACCGTCAATACCTGAGGCAGAAAGCAGGTTTACAGGAACCGCAGCTGGTCCAGGGGCTGGGATGCAGGACAGCCCTTCCTCAGACTCCACTCACTGGCCACTGCTCTGGGTCCAGTCCGTGGGACTGAGAGCCCCCCCAGGGAAGTACGAGAGGGCCCATGTTGGTGCCACCTGGGCCTGATCTTAAGTGGGGGCCCACGAGTCTGCCCAGGAAACCACCAGGGCTTGTTGGAGCTATGATGTGCCACGTGGAAATGGTAAAGCGATGACGGGGGCCATTCCCTGAACACCTGCTGTCTGCCTGGTGGTGTACATGTGTATTGCTGATCCTCACGAGTCACCAAACTGAGCATCACCAGCCCCATGTCACAAATGAGGTACTGAGGCTCAGAGGTGCAAGAACAAGCCCTAGGTTGTCCAGTTTCCCTCCAGGGGATAGGGCCCCTCAAACTAGGCAGCAGCTGAGTCTCCCTGGCACCCAGCAGGGTGGACGAGGGCCAGCAGCAGAGGTCTGGAAGGAAGCCTACACTGAGGCTGCCCAGGCCAGCCACTGCCACTTCTGCTTCTTTTCCCACAGAACTGTGTTGGGGGAGGGAGTTTGGGGAAGTGAAGGACCCAGGAGACCTGGGCACCAGTGCAGGATGAGACCCTCAGAAGTCACCTCTCTGGATCTCAACTTTCTGATCAGTAAAATGGGAGGACACTCCACTGTCTGGCCTGCATCTCAGGCTGTGGGTCTGGCGAGAGGAAGTGTCTAAACCTCTGGAAGCCTACAGAGTTTCCACTTGTGGAGACCTCACCCTTGCCAGGTGCTGCTGGTGTTGCATGCAGCACCTGCTTCTTATCTGGCCCTACGAGGTAGAGAAATGATCCACGTGTTGTTGGTGATGTCAGGTGTGGGGCAGGGAAATAACTGCTCAACGTTACATCAGAAGCAGAGGCAGGACCGGACCCAGGTCCGCTGACCTGCACCCACTGCTCTGCTCTCTTCCCAATGGCACTTACAGTACCGGCGGTGGGAGGGGGGGACAGGACTGAGCTCCCTCTAGAACCTGCTGGGCTGAAGCAGGAGTGTCAGGCAAGGTGGGCAGGCAGGACCCTTGCTCCCTCTATCTGCTCCCACACCTGGTGGTGCCCCTCCTGACTCCTCTCCTCTTGACCCTTGACTAGAGTGACCCAAGAGAGTAACATTCACTTCCAGGGTGGCAGCTGGGAGAGGAGTGCAGTGGAGAACCAGAGCAAAGGGCATGGTTCACGCTCAGAGTGAAGAGCGGGGCGCACCTATGCACAGGTGTGCACACACACACAGAGGAATACTCATGTGATGTGCATACACACGTACACAGATGCACAAGCACACCCGATCACAGACATGTGCATGCAGCCCCACCAGGATGCATGCGCCCTGCCGATGGCCCTGCGCACACCTGGCGGGCTGCATACACAGGCACAAGCACGCACAGAGAGGCATGCGCATACCTGAGCCCACACTCATACTCCTCTCAGGTCTCTGTTCCTTACAAGTTCAAGTTGGCCCCCAGGCCAGGCACTTTCCTGTATGTTTCTGGGGAAGAGAGTGACCACGTGACACATCTTTGGCTGCAAAGGGAAGGGGAGTGGAGGGCAGGGCAGAATGTGGGAGTACAAAGGGTCATGAGATCACAGCGCATGGGAAGGGGTTCAGAACTCATCTGGACAGCCCCCTCTCCAAATCCCCTGCTCAACTCACCTGCAGGCAGGCCACCCCGATACCCACTGCCCCCATGAGCAGGAGGTGGTTGGCCAGGAACTGTTCCAGTCTGGTGATGCAGCCTCCCTGTAAGGTAACAACAGGTCACACGCACCTTGACCCAGAAGTGGGTGAGGATGGGGAGGGAAGGTTTGGCGGTGGTGCTGCATCCAACTGGCTGAGGAAAGGCCAGAGACTTAAAGTGTCTGTGTCAGCCTTTCAATTGCCTGCAGGCTTCTAGGGTGACCCAGGGACAGGCCGTGATGTTCCAGTAGCAGGTGCTTGTCCCCAGGGCTCTGTGCAGAGTGCAGAGGCCCAGCACTGTTGATTTCTAGCCAATAAATAAGTGGGCCTGCTTCCCCCCCGCACCTGTCTGCCTTGAACATGCCTTCTGGGGCCCCTGGATGGCAAGCTGGAGTGAGGGTGCTCACCTCCACCTTGTAGATGTTGGAGGGGTGGACCCTCCGGCCACAGCGCGCCACCACAGTCTTGCAGCAGCTGTCAGGCACCTGGCGGCCCTCCCCTTCCTGAGACAGGATGTAGGCGCTGTGCTGCCAGTCAGTGGAGCTGTTGCTCCCGCAGCACTTGAACTGGAGAGGGAGGTGGAGGTAAAGGTGAGGTGCAGGCAGGGTGGCTCCAGCAACTTGCTCACAGGGGGCAGGACTGTTATTCAGAGGGTAACGAACCCCTTCTTTTCCCCTGGGGATTCTTCCCTTCCTCTGGAGCAGGTGGCTGGTCTCTTTTCAGGCAGAAATTGCCTGCAGGCTACCTGTTTGCTGCCTTAAACATCCACCAGGACCTTGAAGATGACTATGCAGGTGCCCTACGGGCAGGGAGGGAGATGCAGGTGGACCCTCCAGAGTGTGGGGCTTTGGACTCTGGAGGCAGAACCCAGAAAGGGGCCACAAGGGGCGGTTTCCTGGTCTTCCAGGGAGGCAGAACCCCAGGGACAGGGAACCCAGCCTCGCCGGAGGTTCCCAGGCTCCCATTCAGGCCTGGAAACCTCAGACCACAAGGGTGGGCTGAGCTTTAAATGGGTTGACCAGCAGGGTGTGGGTGCCCCTGTGTGCACTGGTGACCTTGGCCACTTTTCAGAGGATGAGCAACCCCTACAGGCAGAGCCAACTGGGAGCTGCGACGGTCTCAGAGACCTGGGACAAGCAGGTGTCTTCTCAGCTGATCTAAGGCGCCCCTGGAGTTCAGAGCCCATCACCCTCTACTTCTGTTCCTTGCTTTTGATCCTGCAGAAAGACCAAGGCCTCAGGCCAGGTCTGCAGGTGCAGGATGGAGCGGAGACCATGGGGTGGGCGTGAGGTGGCAGGGAGAAGGGGCATCAGAGCGGACAGGTGGAGCTGCCTCACACTTTCAGATGCAGAGCCACCAGGCTCCTGGGGTCCAGCTGTCTACCAGAACTTTCTGTGATGGCAGAAATGCCCTCAGCTGTGCTTTCCAACTGGGCAGCCACTGGCTAGGGGTGGCTGAGGGGCACTTGAAATGAAGGTAGTATGACAGAGGAGCTCAACTGTGTGTTAAGCAGCCACACGTGGTTGGTGCCTGCTGTTTGGGACCACATGAATCCGAGGTCTCTGCCCTCCCCCGCCCTCTGGCGGGGCCATGGGCACCGCCAGAGGGGTCTGCTCAGTCTCTTCTCAGGAAGGAGAGACCACCTTGCTGCACACCAGTATTGTTGGGGGGGCCTATTCCAGTTCACACTGTGGGGCCTCAGGGGTCACCAGCAGCCCCTTCCCAGGGGGGAGAAAGGAGCGGGACAGGGGCAGGAGCCAGGAGCTGGAGTTCCCCTGGGCCGGCCTGAGGGGAGGTGGCAGGGTGGGGTTTGGAGAAAAGAGCAGGGGGAACCACGGTTAAGGGAGGGAGGAAGGAGGAGGAAGGAAAGTCCAGGGTCCAGGAAAGCACTTTCGTGGCCGCGGGGCTTCTAAACACGGACACGCGCTTCATGCTCACACCATGACACTGGAAGGAGGCGGGCAACTTGCCCGGGGCCACATGGCCACATGCACAGCAGGGACAGAGTCCCTGGACCCAAGTCTTCCCCCAAGAGGGGCTTACGTCCTGTTGCAGACGGTCTATGGAGGCGGTGAGCTCCGAGGCGCCAGGCTGCCCGTAGTGCTCAGACAGGGTCTGGGTCAGGTGGTGCTTCAGCTCGTCGCCCAGCTGGAGGGCAGAGAGGGACGGAGGTGTCACACGGCCCCCCACCCTGCCCACCTTGGGATGCTGGTCCCCAGGCCTGCTCCCAGACCACGCCAGCTGCAACGGGACCCTCAGCCACAGAAGACGGGCTTACGGAGAGCCGATGTCGCCAAAGCTGGGGCCCTAACAGAAGGACAGGGGTGTCGTGGGCAGAGCTGAGTGGATGGCGAGGGGAGAAGACAGCTTCTAGGCACAGGGGTGCTTTAAGTATCTGTAGATTTTCATTCTGATTATGAATGACAGTCTAAATATTTACCACCATCATCCTGTCGGCATACATCGGTCCTATGGTGTTGGCTGAAACAACCAGCATGGCCATCTGCCTCTACCAGCTGAATACCAGCCTGGTCGTGGCCTTGAACCCCTGATTCCAAGGGAATCCAGTGGGAGAGGACCTGACTGGCCCTTTTGTCCTTGCCTGGTGCTGTCCTCACAGTCTGGCTTGTGGCCCTTGCCCGGGCCTTTCCCCTTGCAGGTCTGGCAGCTGACTTAAGCTCCACGTCTCCTGAGAAGGGGCAAGGGCCCACCCCACCCTCTCTGGGAGCTCCGCAGCATTGGCTCCCACGGTGAAGACATCCTCAGCAACAGATGGAGCAGAGGATTACTGAAGTGGGACAGGAAGCAGGACCCAGATGTGCTGAGGAATACTGGTGCCTGGGAGACAGGACTGCCCCACGAGCAGCTGCCTCAGCTTCGCCTACCTCCCTGCACCATTGCCTCCTGGCACACTGACGGGGGACGCAAAGGAAGAACCTCCACTCACCCTCTGGTAGTACACGTGGGCCAGGGCCCCTGCCACCAGCTCAACCAGGAAGATCACCAGCAACAGGCAGAAGTACTAGGACCAAGGAGAAGAGATGGTCACTATCGGGATTGGGGCTGGGGAGGCAGATGGCACTTTGGCACCTCAATGAAAAATGTTTTCCTAAAGCAGTGAGGCAGGTGGGGCCACCTGTCGGCCCATCCTCGCCTCCTCCCAGCAGCTCTGGGCGTAGCCACCTCTTCTGGCTCTGGGCATGGAGTTCCCCACTCATCCCTTCTCTCATTGGTTTGCTGGTTTGTGAATCCATCCACCCATCCGATACTTATTAAATACCTGTACTATGTTAGGTATCATAAGTAAGACAATTATTATTCTCAAAGAAATTGGTGGTAGGGGCACAGATAAGTAGTGATTATAATGAGGTGTTTTAAGTGCTAGGACAAGCCCTAGAAACTATGGGAGGCTCCTGATGGGGAAGGGCACTCAGAGAAGGCTTCCTGGAGGAGGTGACACCTGAGTGGCATCTCTAAGGATGAGTGGGCATTTGCCAGGTAAAGAAGAAGGAAAGTGCATGCCAGGCAGAGGGGAGAGCATGTGTGAGACCTGGAAAATGCAGTCAGCATGGGTGTGAGTTCAGGGATCTGGCTGGAGTATGGGGGCCGGCTGGGCAGCAGCGACCAAGGCTCCGGAAAAGCATGGGCAGAGAGCCAAGGAAGGGTATTGCAGGGGGTTCTAAATCTCCCTCACTACTGCCTGGCTTCCTCCAGGCTTGGGCTGCTCGGCACACTTCAGGCCCCACTGACACTGCTGGCTGGTTTCCTGGCTGTGCTCTGGCCTCTGCAGGCCTGCATCTTGCCCCCACTCCCACCTGGTTTTATTTTGGGGGGAGGTGCAGACACTGCTGGGTCCTGGTGTGTTGAAGAAGCCAACAGGGCAGAGGTGCGTATCAGGCCCATGTGACTGGAAGGGCACAGGATGAGGGGGAAAGCACGCTACAAATGGGGAGTGGGGGTAGGAGGAGGAAGAGGGCAGCACTGTTGCCCGAAATTGGCCTCCTCTGGGCAAGCACCGGTGAGCAACGCCTCCGCCTCCACCCTCCCTACCCCCCATCCCCAACACTGCCCAGCTGCCTGGCCGCATGGGTTGGCAGCCTGTCGTCACTTGGTCACTGGACTGCTGGGAAGACTCAGCCTATGGGTGAGCTTGGAAATGCCAGGGTTCATCAAGTACAGCAATAACATCGGCCCAAGGGTAGTGTGAGAGGAGGACTGCAGGAGGGCAGGCGAGGCCTGGCCCGTCCAGAGGCAGTGCCAACCCACGGGCCAGGAGGCCTTGTCCCACTGGCTCTCAGGGCCCAGCCAGTGGGGGCTTGGCAAGGGCAGACCTTCAGTGACACAGGGCAGAAGACATTTCACAGAGAAAGAACTCTGACCCAGGAGCGAGGCTTCCTTTCACGGTATGTAAATCGTCTCCCTCTTCTGGAACCCTTGTACTGAGCCCATCGACTCCCAGCACGAGGGCTGGCCCTTGAGGAATCAGGGAAACCTTCCAGTCTCTCAGCGGCGCCAGGCCTGTCCCCAGCACTATGGGACCCAAGGCAAGAGTACAGGCAGAGGCTCCTGGCTCTCTCTCTTCCTGTCCTGGGGCTCTGTGCTGTACCGGGAAAGGCCTCTGCCTGCACATTTAAGCTCTGTCCACGGCCCCACCCCCAACCCAGGCCCAGGCCCCGCAGTCCCCCACGTGGTGAGGGTATGGAGGAGGCCAAAGTGGTGGGATGCAGGGCACACCAGCCTCGGGCACCCTGTGCAGGCTCTGGATGGAGCCCCAGTTGTCTGCTCAGGGCACTCCAAGCTCCTGGGCACCCAGAGGAGGCCAGAAGTAGGGGAGGCAAAGGCAGAATCCAAGGGGGCACACTCTCTGGGCCCCATGGACTTTCTCCACCATGAGCAGGGGTTGGGTGCAGGGGCTGTGTGTGCCTGGGCCCTCGGAAGGTACTGAACGCCACCCCTGTAGGCAGGAGGCTGACAAGAGGTCTGGGGATGGGTCCTCTCTGCTTGGGGAGCCTCTGTGTCCCATACAAAGACTGAAAACCTGAAGGACAGTGGTGGAATGTCAGCTGACTTGGCTTTGAGTCCAGGCTCTGCCACTTGCTGGCTTTGGATGGTGACCTCTGGCTCCTTGGTGTGAATTAGGAAAATGTGCTCCAGTGAGAAAATGTGGCCCCGTGAGCTAGGCAACCTGAATTTCAGTCTTCCCTGTTCCTTGTACAAGATACAAGCTCCGGGGCCATGCATGGGGGTGCTGCCTGTGCACTGAGCTGGTGGATGGCCTGGTGCTGCCCTGACCGCCCTAGGAGGACCCGGCGGGAGGGGTGTCCCGCTCCTGGAGCCCTTGGGCAACAGCATGGGGTGAGCCCAGCCTGTCAGCCAGGGGCAGTCGCCAGGCCAGGTTGCTGCCCTCTTGGGAGCTGCTGGGCCCACTGGACCAAGCCAGGCTGCGGCAACACCCACTCCAGGGCCTTGGGGGTGTGCCTGACCTACCGCTCCTCTTGGACACGCTGGGCCTCCCCCTCCCTGCCCCAGTACTTTGAGACCAGCTCTCATCTGGCACAGGAACTGTCATGTAGTAGCTGCCAGTTGCTCCCCAGGTTTCCTGCATGCCCTCTGCAGTGTGGGAAGAAGCGATGATGGGGCACTTGTCACTGAACAGAAGGATGCAGGCCACTACCAGTTCAGAGGGCAGCATCTCACTACTTTCCTTACCCAGGGAGAGGGAGAGGCTTCCCTCTCTCTCTCTTTCTCTCTTTCTCTCACTGCTCTTGAGTGTGAGGGGGTGCTTGGAGGTGGCCCTGAGGGCGTGGCAGTGATGTGCTGCTCCCTGGGATGCTGTAGACACAGTTGCTATTGAAGCCCAGCTAGAGAGGTGGCTGATGGGAAGGCAGAGCCACTGAACCACATCTGGGATTTAGTGGCAGGCTAAGTTGGTGTACGCCAGCCCTGCAGAAAGGTTCCTGGACATCAAGCAAACTTTCTACCCTGACAGAGTAGGCTGGGGCAGGGAGAGCACCCCTCCTGCCTGGAGCTCCAGCTGCAAAGATGCCCTGGGTTGGGGATGGGGGTAAGCCAGGGCCAGGTTGAGGTTTTGGAGGGACCAGAGGAGGGGGCTCAGGGAGCGAACCTGCTGGGTGCTCAGGGGCACGGGTGCTGGCTCTGGGCAGCAGCTTTAGTAGCAGAGGGCTGCAGGTGTGTGACTCACTGGGGTGGGGGTGGCCCTGAATCACTGCTCCTGTGTGAGGGTCCCTGAGAGGCAGGCTGAGCTCGCTGGATCCTGCATGGAGGACCCCGGCATCCTGGCCTCCGGAGCAGGGCCCACCACATGAGCCAGCCTGGTGGGGTTCTGCCATGTGAGGCCATGAGCTCTAACCAACGCCTCACCTCTGCTGCTCTGCCCGCCCCTCGTCAAGCCTTTCCAGACTCCCCCAGCCTCCCCAGTCATCTCAGGGTTCCTAGAGTGCGGGCTGGCTGTGAGCTGTGTGAAGCATCCCTTTCGCCCCTGCACACTGTGCCCTACCTAGAGGCCAGGACTTCCAGCCTTCACGCCTTTGTCCTCACTGTTGCCCTGCCTAGGCTTCCAGTGTCTCCCTGTGCCTCAATATCCAGCTCGGCTGTGGTCTGCACGCACCATCTCTGGTGGCAGTGGTTGCCACTGCCCACCGCCAACTCCATTGCCTCCATGTCCTGACACATGCTTTCCTCCTTCTCTCCTTAACTAGACTTGGATCTGCCTCAGTGTCCTTTGCCTGCCCACCCTGCTGTTCCTTACATGACACCTCCCCATAGGCCTTGGCTGGGTGAGTGACAGAACATTAGCCACTGCTCTGCAGAGGTTGTTTCTGCTTTAAGAGGTACCCCTAGGTCTCTCCAGAATGACTGTGAGCTGCTGGGGGACAGGGGCCACTGGTGAGGTGCAGGGTCTAGCTGCGTGCTCAGTGCATGTACTCACTCTCAGACAGACACTCGCACGTCTCCTGGCACGTGCACGTGACCCAGCAGGGACTGGCCAGAGTTTGGGGCAGGAGCCTGATCTTTCCCTGATCTGTGGAAAGCATGGAATTGTTACTTTAACTTACACCAGTGGTCCTCCACCTGGCAGGGTTTTGCCCTCTGGGGACATTTAGCAACTTGCGAAGACTGTTTTTTGTTGTCACAACTGGGAGGAGTGCTACTGGCATCTAGAGGGTGGAGACCAGGGATGCTGCTGACACTGTGGGGTGCAGGCCCACACTGCTGCAAGGAACAACCAGGGTCTCAGGTTGACGCTGGGCCTCGAAGTGCATATGTGCCCCTATGCACTATGGGAGACACAGAACAGATCTAAGGAAGCTCGTCCAGTTCCTGAACAGCCTGAACGCACACAGATGAATAGGAGGGTTTCCCACTGTACCTACCCATGAGGGTGCCTCTGCAGCCTCTGACCGCAGGACGGCCGGTGAGGCAGGGAGATGACCACCAGTCCAGGCACATCCCAGGAGCCCCGGGAGCTTCCCTGGGGACTCTGTGCTGTCTAGTCCCTCCTGCTGTCCCCAGTGAGCTGGGCAGTGAGGGGTGAGGGTGTATAACAGATTGGGTGTATAACAGATTGACTGGGAAGCATAAAGAAGGTTCTGGAATAATTTTTTGCCTTTAAGTTTGGTGTTGATTTTGAATTATTAAACAAAAGTCAGTAAAAATTCTCAGATACCCTGTGTCATATTTCAAGGAGTCAGTATTTCCAAGGCGCAGGCCATCCCGCTTTTCCCAGCTCACCATGCCAGGGAGGGGCCGTGCTCCTCCAGCAGAGCCCGTTCTCTTGAGGGAATACCAGAATCCGCCTGCCCCACCTGTGGCTTAGGAGACAATAGCCCTGCTCAGCTGGCTGGCCTCATTTCTCAAAACCAAGCCAGAGAAGCAGAGGATAAGTTGTATTCCTGCAGTGGAAGCAGTGGGAAGGTACCCTTTACACATACCCCTGCCCAAGGTAATAATAACAACCAATTCTCCCTTTGCCGAATCAGCCCATTATCACCTGTGAGACCCCCATGACAGTAATGCCGTCTCTCCGCAGGTGCAGCCCCTCTGTGAGCACTTCCCACGATGGCTCCCAGCTCAGCGAGCACAGCATCATCCAGCGCACAGCCATGTGAGCGCAGCATCAGCATCATTGCATCCCACCCACGTGGGCAGGGAGCACTGGAGTAGTTTGTCCCAACTCACTTGGCGAGAATGTGGCTAATTCTGAAACTGAACCCAGCGATTCGGCTGCAGGACCTGTGTGTTTACCTGCTGTTGCCCTACTCACAGCTGTGGGCGGGGTGAGCTCACAGAGCTCGAAGGGTGCAGTTAGCAGGTTTGGGTGGGTAGAGGTGTCAGGAGACGGGCCAGGGCTTGGTGGCAGAGAGACAAAGGAGAAATCCGGGAAACCCCCAACCCGACAAAGAACTCTCTCACTGGCCCCACTCGGTCCCTGTTCTTCAGTGCCTGCCAGCACCAGGCATGCTCCAGGCGTGCTCCAGGCGGCCCCTCCTGGCCAGGCTCAGTGCAGACTTCTGCCTGCCGGGCCCTACCTTTCACACCTCTGCCCTGTCCTGGGGTCACAGCCTCTGCCCTTGCCTCGCTCAGCCAGCCTAACTTATCTCAGAGTCAGCACAAGCCAGGCAACACCCCGTGGGCATACACAGCACCCTGAGCACAGCAAGGCCTCTGCTCTCATACGTCTTGGGGTTGCTGCTCCGACCCACCAGTGCTCCGCAGCTGGCTGCCATCAATCCTGAGCTTGGGCGAGGCCCACAAAGTCCTCCCTTAGCCCGGAGTTTCTGATTGTGACCTCCCTCTGCTGACATCCTCCTGAATCCCGATCTGACTTGTGGGTGCCCGCTGGACTGCTGCCAGGACTCCGCACACTCTGACCCTCGCTTGCCCTCCTGCTCTGACCTGTATCTTGCTCTGCCTTCATGGGCCCTGGGTGAGGGTGTGAGTCGAACCTGTTCTCTCAACTCCTCTCTGACCTCCAGCCACTCAGGTGTTTGGGCCTGGCCTGCCCCCAGTCCTTCCAGAGGGACCCCCTGTGGCTTGGCCTGACAGGAAGCAGAATGAGAGTTCCAGAGAAAGCTCTTATGACTTCTGCCCCCAGAGCACTCAGTAGGGATGATGTCATTTCAAAATACGCCAAACTGGACCCCAAACACAGAAGGGCCAGGTTGGTGAGCACAGAATGGGACCCAAGCAGTCATCTCCCCCAGCACCCTGTACCATTTACCACACTTTTTCCCTTTCCTTCTTTAATGGAACAGTTTGTACTAGAAGTTAGATATTTTCTAAAACTATATATAGACCCAAAATGAAGCTGGAACAGCGCAGTACTCTGAACCAAACCAACACTTTCCTTAATGCGAGGCTCCGAGGAAAGCTTCGGAGATGTTGCTCCCTGTGACAGTGTGGTGGCTACTTAGAAAGTGCGTCTTCAGAGGGGCCCTCCCTGCACAAATGAGCTGGCCCCAGGCGTGGTTTGGGGGTGGGGGCACACCCACTGGTGCTCTAGGATGGGGCGGCTCAGCCCTGGCCAGCTCCACCCTCGAGGTAAGTTTTAAAAACTTTACACAACAGGACTTTTGGAATTTCCCTGCTGGACTGACTGCCATAAAGCAGGAAGCGTCAACGAAGCTCTCTTCCTCTCTCTCCATCACGCGCACAGTCAGAGACGGAAACAAAGCCGCCGTGAGAAGACCGAGGCCGGGTGTCCAGGTGGGTGGGCGGGGTGGAGGCCTGGCATCAGTGAGGGAGGAGCAGGGACAGGCTGCCAAGGTCAAGCTGTGAGGAGAAGAGCCCAGCCCGAGGCTCTCTGCCTGGCTGGCTGTGAGGATTACAACTGCAGCGGGGGGAGGGCCAGGGAGCTCAGGCCAACCAAGGCCAAACAGGAAAAGGTGGAGCCAGCTGTTGAAGCAGCAATGACCTCAGGGAGCATGATATTGTGGTAATTAACCACAGGCTGGGGCTGGAAGCAGTCGGGGCCTCAGAGGTGCAGCTGCCTGGCCTGTTTATTTAGAAAAGAGAGGATGTGGATTTGGGAGCCTCAAGCCATTCCTGCAACAAGATGTCACTGTTGGAAGGGTGAAGGTGACCTCTACCCCTCCTGGCTCCTGCCCAGGGCTCACGCCTGCCCCCAGCTACAGCCAGGCTGGGTGCTGGCACCGGGTGCTGGCCGCTATTCTACAGGAGGACTTGGGTGTGCTCTGGCTGGTGGTGGATGCTGACGTGCAGTCTGGCCCAAGGGGCTGGGAGCATAGAAGAGGACCAGGGTTAGGACAATGACAGCTGGTGGACAGTGGGGAAGTTGGAAGAGGCCGTGGGGAGGCAGGGGATATTCAAGAGACATCCAGAGAATACAGCTGAGGCCCTCCAAAGTCCCAGCCCAAGGGTTGGGGGTGCAAAGTTCACACTGTGGGGGTTCACAGGAGGAGAACCCAGTTTCAGAGCTACAAGCCAAAGATTGGCACCCGCCGGATATTAAGCAAAGACTGCTGAGAGTCCAGACAGAATGGGCAGAGACAGCAGGTTCCCGACTGGACAGCGGGGCTTGGCCAGCTGGCCCAAGGACGGTCACCAGACTGCCCCGGGGAGTCAGAGCTCAGGGAACTGGGGGCAAGCTGCCGCCCCGCTTAGGGGCCTTGGGTGTGCAGGAAGGGACTGGTTGCTGCCTCTGACTAGCCCCTGGAAGCGCTGTCTTCTCACAGGCTGCAGAGAGATGTGGTGCGCCCTTAGGCAGCTGTGCACGTGCCTGGAACAGAAGGGATGTGCATGGGCTGAGGCTGGACAGAGGATGGCGGTAGGGACCCCTGGCTGGGAGTAGCACTGGTCACAGAGCTGGCAATGGTGGGGGCGGGGAGGGGGAAGGGAAGGCTGAGCAGAAGTCCCCACCTTGTGCAGAAGTTAGGAAAAGCCCTAGGGTGAGGAGAGGTCTGAGTTCTGACTAACCTCAAACTAAACTCAACCCCCGTACGGTCTTTTCTTTGATATAGGCATTTTGTCATCCTCTCTGGTTTCTAAGCCCTGCCAGGGGTCTTAGTCCCTTGTGTGTCTCCTTCCCTTCTCGCCCTGCCTGTGCCCAGCAGAACAGGGAATCTGGAAACACATTAAAAGTTCTGGTGGAAGTTAACGGATTAGGCAGCCTCATCGATGCAATGTGGTTCATGAGCTGCCAAAAGTTGGAGAGAAGGGGGGCGTGGAGATTGGCTGGTGTAAATACTGCTGTGGATAGAAAATTTGCTGCTCTGGGTGGGCAGTGACCGGATACATCCCTTAGCAGCCTAAGAAGGTAGATCTTGAGCCCAGAATGGCGCTGGTCATTAGAAAAGGGTGGTATCACACTAGGCACCCTGGTCTGGCAGTCTGGGCTCAGCTTTTGTCTGTGAAGATGTTGTGTGACCCTGGGTGAATCATTCATCCTCTCTGGACCTCCTGCATAAAATGTGGGGCTTAGGTGGGGAGACTGTCCTGACACTGCTGCTCCATCCGTCTGCAGTGTCAGGACTAAGCATCCTCTCAGGGGTGCTTCCCAGCAAGGACACCTAGAGGAACGCCCCCACACTCCCCTGTCCTTACTCACTGCTCCTATTACCTGGCGGGAGGGCCTCCTTCCCTCCTTGGGGACAGCCTGTCTCCAGGATGCCACATTTCCTGCTCTCCACCATGCAGTGAGTTTAGTGAGGCAGTTCTTAGTGAGGTGAAGTGTTGCTAAGGTCGCTGCTGCAGAGACAAAGCCACACACTCTGATCAGCTGCATTAGTAATAAAGATGACCTTTGACCACCATCACTCTGTCCTCTGGGATTCATTTTCCAATGGGTTCTAAGATCCCCTAAAACGCACGGTCGATGGGGAAGGGCACTGGGTATCAGACTGGGGCATGGCCGCCCAGAGCCAGGACCAGAACCCGGCAGGAGAGGAGATCATCCAGACAGCTCTTCAGCCAGCACTCCTAACTAGGTCCACACGCTTTCTGTGGTGCAGTAACAGGCTGACTTCTGTCGCACTGCCAGCACCCTGAAGCTCAGTCTCTGCCTGGTGGCAGGCAGCCAGGTCACTGGCCGTCAGCTCCCACCTTGGTGCTTCGTTTCTCAGCCCTCAGCTGAGCCTGAGTCAGGAGAAAGGCCAGTCCTGTTCCCCAGGGAGAGGGTCCCACGTGGAGGGGCACTGGGCCAGCCTGGGGCAGCAGAAGAGGCCTTGGAGCAAGCTCCTGCCCATGTGGCCTCAGCAGAGTCTCTTTCTCTCTATGGCCAAAGAGCAGTGGGGACCCTGGGAGCAATGGCCCCTGTAGATAACTCCATTGTCTTAGATTCCTTCTCAAAGGGGCTTGGTCATTGTGATGGTGACACAAATGTGATTACAGCTGCATCTTATGATGTGCCACATCTTTATATAATGTGGCGACTTGTCTCCTAAGACCTAAAGTACTTACTCAATATCCTCACAGCTCGCCCCATATGAAGATTGGGGATATGGGGGCAGGGGGGCAGGGGGCCAGGCGTGGCAGAGAGGCTTCTCTGAGGTCCTGGAGCATGTTGGACCAGCTCCCCTACAACTTGCGTCTGAGCCCTGGTCCTGGGTTCTAGACCCGATTGCCTAGTTAACCAGGGCTGGATCTATTTGATAGAAGTGTTGCAATTTGGGGTCCCCTCATTTTCAGAAATTGGTTCTAGAATTTCTTATTTTTTAATCCACTCCATAAATATAAAAGAATTCCTGACAAAGACCCAGTCTAGCCTGGACCATCCATTATAAAAGTTTTCAGAGCCCATAGTCAAAACTCTAAAAATACTCCTTTCCTTTGATCAGAGTGGCATCTGCATGGTCATTAGCCTAGGGCTTAGATGGCCCAAATGCACTGGTTTTTGCATTCAGCCTTCACTAAAAAAGAAGAGCTGGTGTGAATAATTTAAGCCCCATTCCTGCTCCCCTTTGCAGGTTTCTGACACCAAGTCATCATCATTTAAGCACCAACTAGGACGTACTATTCCTGTCCCTGATGAACATTTCCTTCTCATATAAGTGACTTTGAGGACCTACGGATGTGTGGGGGGAGGCCCCGGGCAGGACAGACATGCATCTGTGGGAGCTGGACGGCCCCTGTGGGTGGTTCTTGGGAACCTTTGATGCCAGGCCTCTCCCTCCCGGTGGTCCAAGTCCGACACGCCAGGTACAGACGCCTGGTCTTCCGTTTTCCCTCTCCTCCTGGGAGCCACTCTAAAAAGAGCTTCTGGAATCGCTGCATTTCTCCTCTGGGATTTCCTCCAGCCTTTAGCTGATTAAAGATTTCAACAGGGAGTTAAGACACACATTGAGAAAGATGCAGTGAGGCCAGAAAGGCACCTCCAGGAAGCACAGAGCACTTTTAAGCTGCCTTAACCACACTGTTTGCCTTTAAGTGGGAGCCTGGTTTTAAAAGTCCTGCTGTGTTAGCCCAAGAAAAGTCTTACAGCCACCTTATTGGTCGAAACACTGAAGTGCTCAGTAACTCAGGGGCTGATGGGCCAGGATGCAGATCACTCAGGCACCGCTGCTTCCCCTGTCCTCTGTTCTTGGCAGGATCTGTCTGGGTCCTTCAGAGGGGCACAGGGAAAAGCACGGGAAGATTCAGGCTCCGAGGCTTGCTGTTTGTCAGCCCCTGGCCCTGCACTCCTGGGCTGCTGTCTGCGTGCACGTGTGTGTATGCACTTTCCCTTGACCTTGATCTGGTGCCTCTCTGAGGTGTTTTGCTAGTGATGTTGGACCAGAGAATTCCTCAGTTCTCTGTGAGGTGAAAGCGAATGCAAGCAGTGAGTGAAGAAGGAATCCAGCAGCCCCTGTGCCCCTAGCCCTGCCTCTTGACCCAGGGGGATGAGAAAGCCCTTCTGTTTGCTGATACTGGGGCGAGAGGTGTGCACCAGGTCTGCCCTTGAACCCAACCAAGGTCCTGGCCTTCCTCAAGGCTCTATTCTCCCCAGCACAGCCCTGGGTACGGGACATGGTCCCTCCACATAGGCCTCGGACCTTGTGCCTGTCAGGCTGTGCCTGGAGACACTGTTTTCTTAATGGCTCAGCCTAGATGGTGGGACAGGTCTGGCAAATGGGTCATTAAGGAGGGAGTGAAGAAGGGGAGGCCTGTGATCAGTGGCTCAGAGAGCAGAGCCTGTCAGTTACCGACCCTCAGGCCTTCCTTCTGAACTTTGAGACTGCCAGGTGGGGCTCGTATAGGAGGCTGTGGACCCAGGGGAGCAGGATGGCTGTGGTGCGAAACCCTTCAGGGCCTCCTTTGGCCACCTGACTCTTTCCAGGCTCAGTCTGATTTCTTCAGGAGACTTAGATTGGTTCTGGCCCTGCCCTTCCTGCTGATGTTTTGCAGCCTCCCCTGCCCACACCAGTCTTGGCCCTGAGGAAGAGATTAAGAGTGGAGGAGCCTACTCCGGCTGCAGGCTCACTGCAGTCGGGGGTTAGTCTGGCAGTCCTGACCTGGACTCTGGCTTCTGCCCCTCAGTCCGCCTAGGCCTCCTGTCCAGCTGGCCAGCTTCCCAGCGTGTGCTGCCCACAGCACCGCCCATGAAATCCTCTTGCCCAAACAACCCACCCTGAGTCTGATCAGGCTTCTAGACTCAGGTATCAGGAGAATACATGAAATAATACCAAGGAGATGCCATCAGAAAAGCTAGACTGGGAGAAAGTACAGCACATATGACCTGGTTCCTTCAATAATAAATTGCAAGCGAAGAAAAAGAGAGAGATTGATGGGGAGTTTAGAGATTAAGAGATCCAGGAGACAAAATGACCAATTGCAACGCATGGGCCTAATTTAGATTCTGATGCAAACAACCTTTAAAAAAATAGTTTATGGGTCAATTGGGGAAAGTTGAAACTGCCTGGTTATTTCATGATATTAAGGCATGACTGTTAAATGTGTTTAGGTGTGATGATAGTACTGTCATTATGTATTCTGAAAAAGGACCCTAAACTGCCCAGGTACACCCCGGAATATTCACCGGGGATGAGGCGCCTGGGACTTCAGGGTGGGAGGGGCATCAGTCACAGATGAAACAGCACTGGCTCTGGGAGGAGGGCTGCTGACTCTGAGCGATGGGACACAGGGTTTCACTATGACATTCTATTCATTTTTGCAGAGCTTTGAGAATCACCATGATGAAATCTGGAAGGAGAAGTGGAGGAGAGGAAGAAGAAGAGGAATCGGAGGAGGGTGGAGGAGGTACCGCAGCTGTGCCAGGACTGAGGCTGCCCTCCCAGTTTAGCTCCTAAGAATCTGGAGACAAAGGCAAATAGCCAACTGGAGGGGCTGCTGCCTCCTCCAGCCTCCCCAGGACTTGGAGCCCAGGCTGGGACACTGTCCCTGGTGGGGTTCTCAGTGCAGGAGCTGATAGGCGGCACAAGCCCTGGGGGCAAGGGCTTGGGCTTTGCTCTCTGAGGCCCCAGCTGGTTTCCCTCCTCCCAGCCACAGGCTGGTGGAGTGGGGCAGGCAGCACTCACTGTGGAGAGGCAGCTCCTGTCCTCCCTGATGATGGCGCAGAAGCCCAGGAAGCCAGTCACCATGACAAGGGCGCCTGCGAAGATGAGGATGTAGGCAGAAGCAGCAAAGGTGCTGGAGGCCAGGACGCTGAGGTAGCTGCTCTTCTCCACCAGGGTCCAGACGCCCACGGCCAGGACGGCAGCACCACCCACCTACGGGAAGCCCCAGATCAGAGCAGGTGGCTGCGGGTATGCCACCGCTGGCCTCTACTGAGCACCCACTGCAGCCCAAGCACTTTTTATGCCTCATCTCATTTAGTCCTTCAAAGGGCCTGTGAGGATGGGGCGGTCCCTGACTTACAGGTTGGGAAACGGAGGCTTGGAGAAGCTGGTGACTGGCCCATGGTCATACACCTGAGCGGCAGGGGCAGATTTTTGAAGCCTGGGGTGAATCCCAACTCTGTGCTTCTCACCACGTTGCCTGGGAGTCCCTGTCCCGTGAGGTAGGGGAGGCAACTGCGAGTGTGGGGGGCCTTTGCCCTCCAATTCCTGGCCCCCCACCCCGTGCCCTTCCTCCCCACAGGGCTCCTTTGCTCCTGTCCACATTCTCGGGCAGGCACTTTCACACACTGGTTTCAGCCCTATATCTGCCCACTGGGGGAGCATGACAGGGCTTTTCATCTCTGCTGTACAGATGAAGAAATGGAAGTGCAGAGAAGAAATTGCCTGAGGGCCTGCCTCTGGTTAGGGACAATGCGAGGCGGGCCAGGATTGAACTCAGGGTGCAGCCCCCACGGTTGAAAGGACAGGGACTCCGCAGCTGGAGCTACTAGGGGGCTGCAGGAGGACTGAGCAGCAGAGATTTCTTTGCTAGTTGTCTGCTTCCCTTTCGGCCCCAAGAAGGCGGCAGGAACAAGACAGTGCTGATCAGTGGTTGGGGTGTCTCCTCAGGAAGGGCACCTGGGCATGCAGCTGGGGGCGCCCTGCCTGGTTCTTTGCACAGCGAGGCTGTTAAGCTCAGCAGAAGTGTGTGGGCCAGACAGGAGTGCTAGTGCCTGCCCAGCGTTTGAGCTGGCACAGCCCCTGGGGCCATTTCTGCGACTGCCCCTGCGAGGGCAGACTTCCGCCTGGCCCCGGCCTCCCTGCCTCATGTAGGGGTGAGCTGTCTCCCTCAGATGGGTGAAGACCTCTCTCTCAGGGCCCCCGGTGTGGCCCACTGGGCTCAGTCCACAGGTGCTCGTCCCTGCATGGTGTTCCCATCGGCCCCAGGAGGACTCTGTGGGCTGTGTCGTGGGAGTGCCCCACCCTGGCACCTCAAAGCTCTCTGTTCTCAGGAGTCACAGGCATCAGCTGAGAAAATGGAAGGTGGTTCTTGGCAATGAATATGCACTAGGCACGGCCTTACTCAGCTCTCCATTTCTCTTCTGAGCTCTGCTGTGGTGCCGAGATGTGGCGGGGGTGGGAGGAGGGCACGTGTTATCTCTGTTTTGCAGATGAAGAGCCTGAGGCTCGGAGAGACTGAGAACAGGCGTGAGAGACAGCACTGGGGGGCCCTGAGCAGAGACTCCAACCCGGGGCTCCTGAGGTCCGATTCAGGACTCCATCCTTGGATTCAACAGATGGGGCCGCACCTGCTCCGTGACTTATTTCTGCTTTTTACATGATCTGTTTTCTTCAAAGTCTCATTTCATCCCCTTTGGCACCTCCAGCAGATAAGAACACCAGGCAGAGGGACACCCAGCAGTGTGGCTCTGAAGGGAGCTGGGGGCTGGCATGCGGCACTTCAGTCACATCGTGTTCCTCACATGTTCACATCTCTAAAGCCGACATGCGTCTTGTGATCAGCAGCATCTTACAGTTATACTCAGCACTACTTTTGCTCCGTGGTACGAAATCAATGATGTATCTTAGGATCCAACTGCTGGCATCTTAGCTGCGCTGAAGTCTGGAACTAGGATAGGTCTGTAAACTGTCTGTGAGCGCCGCTCCCTCTGGGCCACACGGCCTCCACGGCCAGCAGGGACTCTCCTGAGTCTGGCTCCTTGGGATTGTGTTAAGTGAGACTTTCCAGCAAAACCTCCTGCACATTTTCTGTCTACCCTTACAGCCTGGCTGGAACGCTTGGGTAAGGGTCCCCACTTGGCATAACTAGCTGTGTGACTAAAGGTAGTCTCTTAACCCCTCTGGGCCTAAGTTTCTTCAGCTCTCCAGTAAGGGGCTTGTATTTGACCACTGGTTCCCAACCTATAACCACCAAGGACTCCTCTGCTTACTTTGTCCCATGGATCTTATGTTTTGAAGGTTTTTGCCTACCAAATCCAGTGCATTAATTAAGTAAAAATTCATTTCTTATTCTTTATTCATCAAAGGCACATGATGGTGCCAGGAAGAGATTCTGAACAGCATGAAACAGTCAATGTGATCACAGTGAGTTGATCTAATTTTTAATTGCTCTGGGCTCTTTATGGAGATCTGCACACTATCCATGATCCATTGGGCTTGTCAACCCCATAGCTCAGCATTGACTCTGGCACTTCCTCAAGGGGCACATCTGGACAGGACTGGGACACTTACTCGGTTGGGGGACAGGGAATCCACTGAGAATGTGATTAGAAAAAACTGTGGGTGCTTTTCTCACAGCAACAGCCATCCATTCAAAATAAAGCGCTGGAGTTTGGGGGCTGGAGCCTGATCCTGGACGGAGCCCTGGTGCCCGCAGCCTTTGAGGCCTGCTCCACCTGTGCTCCTCAGCCTGGCTGCATGACCACTGGCACTCTGACACACCCAGGCCACGCCCGGGCCAGGTGAAGTGTCTGGGAATGGGACATGAGCATTTTAGTATGTTTTCAGGTGGCTCCAGTTGAGAACCACTGTGGAGATGTCATATTTAATAGAGGGTGAGGCACCCCACCCCTCTCCCTGGCAGGTGCTGCTGTGCTGAATCTCACAGCCACTCTGCTTCCTGGAAGCTTTGGGCCCCTTCCCCCGGGGGCAGCTGCTGGGTGTGCTTTGAACATTAGTTTAGGACTTGAACTCCATCCTGTCCCTTCTGAGCTTTGCTAGGAGCTTCGAGGTAGACAGTGAGAGATAACAAGGAACAGAATTTTCAGTCCAAAGGGTTGAAAATCAGATATGCAAGGGAAAAAATAGGTGGCTCCCCAGGAAGAGTAGGGGGCTCTGAGAAATGCAGCCCCAGGGGAGGAGCCGTGCTGACCCCCCCCAGGAGGGCTGCTGTGTCCTGCGGCATTTGCCGGTCTCAGAAATGGGTGGAATCGTGCAAACAGGCAGAGCCCGCAGGTCAGCCAAGGTGACAGCAGGGTCCCCAGCTGTTGGGGAGGGCCTGGGAAGCATCTGGAGGGATAGAAGAAATCAGGAGGTGACTGTGACTCACTAGGGACCCCTCCCCGGGGGTGTCACATCTGGTGGAGACACTGAGTGAGACTTGCCATCAGGAGGAAGAAGAGTTCAAGTTCAGGGAGTCTCCAGCTGGGACCTGGTCAGCTCTTTAGAAAATAGTCTTTCCTCTGAACAGGAAATGTAAAAGCTGCTCAATGTCAGAACAGGTCACCGGAGGGTGTGTTGGGGGGGATTGACATTGACAGGCCTGGGGGCCGGCCCTGGCTGTACCCCTGGTAACCATGTGATTGCGTGCCAGACGCTTTGCCTCTCTCACCCTCAGTTTCTTCACCTGTGAATGGCGGTGTGCGGGTCAAGTGTCTCTATTACCAGGGGGTGGGGAGGTGGGGGACAACCTTCTGCCAAGACACCTGCAGCAAGAGCCTTCTGGACCAGTGGCTTGTGGTTTTCACTTGAGCTGAGGGGAGATGGCCTCGGTCAGCAGAAAGGGCAGTCAAGTGTGAGGGGAAGTGAGAGAAGGGCTGAGTGGGGTGGGAGAGAGCTGACCCCAGGGAGCAATTTCAACAGCTGCTTGCATAGAGTTGGTTCGATAGTAGTTGGCTCCTTACAGAAACTGGGTTGGTTTTCTGTGAAATAAAAACCGAGTCCGTAGCCAATTAGCCAGAAAAGCCTGCAGAGGTGTGAAGCCGGCCCTCTCACCAGCGAGGACACAGGCAGGCCAGGAGGCGGGGCAGGTCACCCAGGCCGTGGAACTTTTCCTTTGTTAGGGAATGGAAGGGCTCCTGGGCTGGGATCTGGGGGAAGGGCCCACGGGGCTGAGCAGGGGCCAGGACCTCGGGCCTGGAAAGGAAGGATGGTGTGGAAGGAGACTGCTCCACCTTCCGTGTGAGGGGAACACCTTGTGGGGGCCCGGGTGGTGGTGTGGCTCACTGTGGAAGTGTCTGCTGGGCCCTTGTAGGTGCCGAGCACCACGCAGGGCTGGAAAGGTTTCTGGGCAGGATGTGTGTTCAACCACACTTGTCATCTATGCTCCCCCCTGGGCGTCTCACTAACAGCAGCCCTGACTACCCAGACCAGAACCCCTGCCCCCTCCAAGCAGGATCCATCGGTGCTGACCCCACCCAGCTCCATCAAGCCTCTTTGGTCCCCTACGCCCACCCCCTGTACCCGTCTCCAGCCTCTGCTCAGCTCACAGGCTAGTTCACTGCGCTCCAAGTGCTGAACCACCAGGCATTCTTAGTGAAGTTGCCTCAAGCTCGCCAGCACCCAGAGCACTAAGCCCAAAGCCTGATGGCCTTGCGCCTTTCAACAGCTAGGCTGAGCCTACACATCTGTTTTCTGCTGCTTCCCTCCCTCCACATATGGGCTTTAGTTACTGTGAACTAAGTAGTTGCTTTTCCTGAAAACATTGCAGATGCCCAGTAACTATGATAATAAAGCAGAGTGGTGAAGAGGCCAGCTGCCCGTGTCTGAGGCCCAGCTCCCTGGTTGGCTGCCTGAATTTGGACAAGTTTCACAGCTTCTCTGGGCCTCAGGTCTCTCATCAACTCTTGAGTCCCACTTTTTTGCCCTTTCTCTTTGGTCTCTGGCTTTCCTGGGCCAGGGGTTCTTTGGCCTTCAGTGTAGCTCTCACTCAGCATGAGCGGGGACCATGCCTGGCTCGCCTTAGAATCCCCAGCCCCACACAGGGCCTGGCACGCAGGAGCCGCCCCAGTGCAGGTGGACAGCAGCTGGCACTTGTGTGGAGGGCTGGGCAAGTGCCGCTGGTGCTGCCCTCACTGCCTCTGAAGGCTGACTTCTGCAGCAACATTATTAATTCTCTTCCTTAGTTTCTGGCAGTTTTTAATTTCAGGGGG